AATGTATGCAACCTGCCTTGTACCTGGGTAGATCCAATAAATGCTGAGGGTGGCAGCTCGCTGACAGATACTCTGCCAAAATAAAGACATAAGATTCCCTTTCTCCTTCTTATTGTTAAGTAGCTGGACCTGTCTGAATATTACAAAAACTCAGTAAGTAAATATTTAAGAGAATTGAAGTTATTTATTGGAGAGGAAAATATGGCATCACAGAGAGACTTCAGAGTAAGCACTGTAGATATCGGGTGTGCAGAAGGGAGCTTTGTGCATCAGTTTTCAAAGGTCTCTCAGGAAGATGATGTGTCAGAACTTAACTAGGAAGGACGAGCCTGTGGCAGACGCAGGTTGGCAAGGCCTTTGCTCAGCTGGCCCACCTTGGAGATGTCAGGCACACTGGGCCTGGGGCTGGCTGTGGTCAGGGGATTCAGATGCCGAGTATGACCCATGGGGCGTCTCCCAGCCCATCCCAGAGCTCTCAGCTGGCCTTCACTGACCCCCACACATTGTCCCTCCCCTTCCTTTTTCTTCCAGACCCACTCTCTCTTCCTTATCATGCGAACCTCTCAGGAGCACGCAGAGGCCTGGCATCTCACCCGGTGCTGGGGAGGCGGGAGACTAGGGCACATTTTCACAGCCCTCAGGCGCTCCCCGTGCACACTGGGATCTGGTGCAGACAGCTGGACTCCCTCCCTCCTGAGTCAGTGTCCATGGCTCCACTGAAGGCTGATGTTTGGGGATGGTGGGAAGCTGCCTGAGGTGAACACACAGGCCTGCTCTTTCAGGCCACAGGATCAGGGCCATCTTTGTGAAGGCACCGGTCAGCACTGGGGCATCACATTGGTAACTGGACAAACCAGACAAACCATGGGCTCGTCCCTGCTGTGGTGCAAGTAATTCCTCACGTTCTGCTGGACAGTAAGAAGCCCTGAAAGCCAAGACTTGGACCAAGAAAAAGTGATCACTAGACAGCAGAAAGTATACATGCTTTACACCCGAGAAGAGCGAGACTTAGAGTAATAGATGATTGTTAAACATCAGTGAAGGTGATGAATAACGCTCTCAGTTCATGGTGCAAGAAAAGTCGTCTGGATACAGACAGCCTTGTATTTGAAAAGATGTTCAACATACAGGGTGTTTGGCGATAAGCTCTGTCTTCTGCTCACATCTGGTTCATCGAACACGTTCTTTAGTGCCCCTGTGGGCAAGGCATCATGGTAAGCTCCGTGATACACTCGTGGCGCCCTTCCTCAGGGGTCTGCACACTCAGGTACTGAATATAATGAGTGAGAGATTTCATTTTTGTCATGGCTGCCAATCTAACTAAGTGTGCTTAATACAGTATGTGCCGGGGACAGCACTGAGTGCTGTGTGTGGTTGCATCACAAAACCTGGCACGCTGTGCACTGTTTTATAGAAGAAGAAGTAGAAGTTTGGGGAGAATTTGAAAAGTCACATAGCCAGTAAGGAAGAGACTTGATTCAGACTTTGACTTTAGAGCAGTGATTCTCAACCTGTGGGTTGTGATCCCTTTGGGGGGTCTCCTACATATCAGATATTTACATTATAATTCATAACAGTAGCAAAATTACAGTTATGAAGTAGCAATGAAAATAATTTTATGGTTGGGGGTCACCACAACATGAGGAACTGGATTAAAGGGTGGCAGCATTAGGAAGGTTGAGAACCACTGCTTTAGAGCCTGTGTAAGCTCAGTTCAGAAGCTAACCAGTTTAGTTAGCGGACAATTTTAAGTGGGCAAAACATCGTGTTGAATTTGGGATTTTTTTCTTTGTGAAAAGAACAGATTTTGATTCTGTACAATTTAAGGATATTTGCTAATTTGGAAAGCTCATGATATAAATCAGAAATGTTCCAATCCTGACTGGCTTCCTGGTCTTTCCTACAATCAGATGATTGCTTGGCCCAGCTTACGTGCCAAGTGGGCGATGTGTGGTTCATTGCTGCAGGCTTCTCCCATCAGCCAGTTCTGAGTATGAGTTACCCGAGCGAGTCGGTCAGGAGCCATTGAGGGAACGTGTTCTGTCCGGTTTGAAATATAGTCAGCACTGGAGGATGTGAGCTCCATTACTTGTGGCAGTTATGACGTTCTGTTTTCAAGATAAAAGACTTTCAGAGATTTATTAGAAAATTTCAGAAGGCTTTGGTGAGGCTATCACATACAACTTAGAGAAAACACTTAAGTAATTTAATTGCAAATGAATTTGAACCATATGGACAGTTTTCTTAACGTGTACTTCAACTTAGAAGGGGATTAGCCATTGGCATGGTGGCTCATGCCTGTAATCCTGGCACTTTGGGAAGATTGCTTGAGCCCAGAATTCGAGAATTCCAGACTAGCTTGAGCAACATGACAGATGCCATCTCTAAAAAAGAAAAGTAGAAGAAGAAATCATCCCGACGTGGTGGTGCACACTCGTCTCAGCTACCAACTTCCTCGGGAGACTAAGGCAGGAGCGTGTGAGTTTGAGGTTGCAGTGAGCTGGGATGATGCCACTGCATTCTGGTCTGGGCGACAGAGTGAGACCTTATCTCAAAACAAAACAAAACCTGAAGAGGATTAGCAAATGATCTAGCAAACATTTTTGATGGTATATCTCACCCCAAGTGTTAAAGGACTTTTCAAAATACATGAAAAAATGTGGTTGACTTTTCTAAACCCAGAAATTTGGAAGAGAGATGATCGTGTTTGGAGGGATGACACTGTCACTCCACTCTGTGGTTTTCACCAAGACATGAGCTCCATGTTGTCGTGAGGACATTTATCCTCTGGCCATCTTTGGCAAAGTCCTCATGTCATGTGCTGCCCACTGAGTTACTGTCTAGTTCACTCTGTGTAACCCCTACTGAGCAAGGCGTTGGGTTCCCCCTCCATAGGGAGCCCCTCCAGTCAGTATAAAGCCTTTGTTTCACATCCATTAGCAGAAGAGCTTAGGAGGTTGGTGGTGGGCACTTGGGGTCAAGGGGAGCTCAAATGGAAGGGGCATAGTTAAAAGGGGTCAGATTCGGAATCCCAGTGTTTGAATGCAGGTCTCTGCTTGACCCTAACTTCCACGTGACCTTGGGTCAGCTATTTCACCTCTGTGAGCCTCAGTTTTCTTGTGGGGTTACTGAATCTACCCTGCTTTCTTTAGGGCTGTGTAAGGACAGCTGAGAGAGAGTATGAAAGAGCTTGTCACAAACCGTAAAATTCCACGTAAAACAGGCAATGTGATGGGTGTGGTGCGGGGCCTGGCCTCCTTGGGTGGTGTGGCTAGACAGTAAGGCTGGAAGGGGGAAGACCAGACAGTCCCAGTGGGCAGCTTTTGTCCCTTTGGGCTGTGTGGCTGATGTTTAGTGGGCCTGGTGTGTGTCAGCTGTCACCTAGGCCAGCACCTCAGGTAACAAACTTGTGCCATCTTTGACCAGCTTCTTGTCCTAAGAACTTCACTTCCTCCCCCTCAGAGATCCATCACTTCAAAAAATTCTAATGGCCTTTTTTGTTATTGCCCTTTTTGTGGCTATTTTATTGTTGAGTGTTAGGGGTTGTCAAGTCTGAAGCTGTCTTGGAGCAGAGACCTGTAACACTCCCCAAGGCCTGGTGGTGACAGTGACATCCAGGAGCACTGATTCCACTCCAAGGTGCATGGCTGGGAAGCTTTCCAGACTGCACAGAACTCCAGGGCAGAGAATGCTATCTCTGTTTGATCATTTATTTTTTAGCTGACTCAAGAAGGCCCACGTGTGTGTTCTCAGAAGATTTGTTCATTTTACTGGGCTATGCTATTGGATTAAAACCTTTGAAATAATGACTACTTTGCATATTGGGAGAAATACTTGTTGACCGTGACATGGGGTTCTTTTGGGAGCCTCTGGAACAGGGTGCCCAGGGACTGATTAGGTGACTATGTCTAATCTATAAGCGGGTATTTGTTTTGGTTTGATTCAGGATGTTGGAACCAGGTGTCTGGCATTTCAGAATAACCATGTCTAATGGCTACTTATTTCTGTGTTGTTGAAGGTCATATGAATTTATGATATTAAATTTGATATTATGATATTATGTTTTTATATCTTAGTGTTATCTAAGTGTTGAGATCTTAGCTTAGCTGGGAATTTTACAGTCTCATAAAATTAGTCAGAACTGGTGCTGGGATTAACGTACACAGAGGAGGAAGAATGCTTGGAAAGTAACTGCCTTATGCAATTAAAGAGATGTCCCTAGGCTTAACTGGATCCTGCAGGGAAGGCTAGAATGTGGTCTACTGTTAGAAGTGGGCAAGGCCATGGTTGTACGGTCCCAAACGTGTTAGGTCTTAACTTGATATAAAACCAAAGTATTGGCTTCCAGAATGCATAGCTGTGACAAAGTTAATAATCAGAGCATCTCTTGAGATTAATGGATTCAGCAAGAGGATTTCTCAAAATCAGTTAATTTAGCAAGAAGAAACATACCCTGAGGATAGCAGCGATGGTATAGCCTGACCAAGATTCATCTGAAGGAGCAAGACTTACACATGGAAGAACACTTAAGACCCCAAACAGAAATTTAGCATTTAGCTTAGTGGTTCATTGTAAGGGAAAGCCCACCTTGTCCACAGTACAGAGAAAAAGCTTTCTGGAAGACAGTAAATAAAGACCACATGATGTGTCTCTGCTATATTTTTGCACTGACCAGAGAATATATGGTTTTAGCCTTAAGGGGGCAAAAGGAGATAGATGACAAGGGACATTGTACAACACCCAAGATTTCATGCCAGCAGTGTCCCAACATAGTAATAGAATGTTTTCATTTTAAGTTCTTGAGACCTCTGGGTATGAAATGTGGGAGGAACATGTGGATAGAGTGTTGATACCCTTGGGAAAAAATATTTTTCCTAGAATGAGTTGCCAAAAATGGGTAATTGTTGAATTGAGAGTTTGAAGAGACTTCTTGAACTTAATAGGATTGTAAAACCTCAGTGGTACCCTGTCTAATGGCCTCTCCGTCATGTTCTCTTAAGAAAAGGAAGTGCCCAACAAGCCCTTGCGTGTGCGTGTCCGGTCCTCAGACGACAGGCTGTCCGTTGCGTGGAAGGCGCCACGGCTGTCTGGAGCCAAGAGTCCACGCAGATCTCGGGGTTTTCTCCTGGGCTATGGAGAAAGCGGCCGGAAGATGAATTATGTTCCACTGACGAGAGACGAGCGGACACATGAAATTAAAAAGCTAGGTGAGTTTAATATGCATTGGCATTCAGTGTTTCAATGATTTGTGATCATTTCAATGTTTGGAAGCTCATTCGTGATACAACATTATAGAGTAGAATCCTGTAAGCTGACCCCCCACCCCGGGACTGTAACTGGTCAACATAAGGAGCTAGGCCTACTGTTCTGATATGTACACATGGTGCATATCTGGTCTATGAAAATTAGGTCAACTTAAGGAGGTGGTCAGTGCAGGGAGGTGGTCAGCAATGGAGGTTCTACTGTACCTTAGTTGTAATGTTTGTTTCCTAGAAATTACTTGAGAGGGAGCCAATGCTTTTGCCACCTTGGCTCTGTCCTTGTCATTTGTTCTTTGAAGCTTTGTCTTTGAATCTTAGGACAATGGACCTTGGGTCCTATGAAGGTGGGACAATGGCTGCCGAGTATAACTGCAACTCAGGCCATCCCCACTTTTCCCACCCCCTTATTGGGTAAAGGAAGCACTGGCTATAGGTTACAGAAGGGAGATTGCTGTGACTCTGAGAGGTTCTGTGTATGATTCCAGTCTGGGTGGGGTCTTTCCTGTCTGTGCTGGACTCACTCATCAACAGGCCTGGTCAAGGACCCAGGACCAGCTCTGAGAAGGACACGACTCAGGCCTGTCCCTCTTGAGTGTGGAGACAGTGCCAATAATTGGGTCTGTCCTGTTTACACCCTTATCTTGGTATGTCGGGCAGAGAGTTGGGTGAGTGTGGCTGGGTCCCTGCATGTCAGCCCCTCCTGGGGGCAGCAGGCTATGGAGGGGCCCCTAGTGTCCAGGCCTGCTTGGGTGGCAGAGCCTGCCTAATTCTGGGCTTGAGCAACCTGTGCCGGAATAGTTTTCTGGGCATGTAAAAGGCTCTATTTTGGTGATGTGGGCCAGATTCCACCCACGATATCAGCAGAAGAATAAAGCCACTCTGTATTTCTGATAGCACAGGGGAGTATTTTTTTAATGGACACTTTTCATGGTTCTAAATTTTCCGTTGACGGCACACATTTAAATGTCATTTAATGTTGACAAGTTTTTCATCTGACTGGTCTGTTATTTTTTCATTTCTTTAGTAGTGAGCCACTGGGCACCTGAGCACAGCAGAAGGATATTTTTTTCTGCCTGAAAATATTGAACCTTAGGTGGGGGGTGTGCCCAGTCCCAGCCTGGATGGACAGGGCTAGCATGTTAGTTTTTGAACTTCTGCCACATGAACAGCACTGGCCTCGTCATGGTGAACAATGTGTGAGGTTCCTGCGAGGAAGCTTGCCCCATCTTGCCAGGGTGGACAGGGCTCAGGTGGACTCCCCTGGCATTCAGAGTGGACCTGCTGGGTCATAGGAAGTGTCTCCTTACTCGTCCTGATAGGACTTTCATTCTGTTCCTAACAAAGGTGCTGCCGACCTGCAGTGCTGCAGAGAGCGCTCACACGTTCGGGGTAGGAAGTGGGGCTGAGGTCGGGCAGCAGAGTGCCACTCCCCACACCATTCATGAAGCACATCCTACTGGGCCTGGCCTGTGTTAGGTGTGGCCCTAGGTGGGGGTAGCGGTGTTGTCTCTGGTTAAAGGAGGCCCCACAGAGAAGGTGATGCTCCAGCAAGTCCCACAGCTTAGAGGGGTGCGGCACCGTGGAGGCGGGAAGGAGATAGTGGGACAGGGCTCTGAGCGAAACAGGATCCTACTAAAGGACAAGGAGGTCATGACAGACCCTTAGAAGCTGAGGGTGTTTCTCCCACGCCACACCCTTGAGCTTGGGAAGTGGGGAGATGCATTGGCTCTGGCTGGTGATGCTGGGGTCGTTTTGGGAATTTGATGAAGTGATTCATTGATTGGGGGCACAGAGAGGGGGCGTTTGTACCATCACATGCGTTCATTGCATCTCTGTGACACAGAAACAGATGGCTGCCTGGGGCCACCTCCTCTTCTTCTGCAGTTACTAAGAGCCCCATCGCTGGGGCCTGCAGACCGTGCATTCTGTGAACTCAAAGTCGTCTCAGGCCTGTTTCTTCAACTGAGAGATGGAGACAGTGAGAGTAGCTTTCTTGTGGGGCTTTGTTAGGACTAAAGGAAGACTTGCGTGTGAGCTGCTTGGCCTGGGACAGCAGTTACTGTCCTTTCCCTTAATGCTGCTCATGGGCCCAGTTTAGTTTCCAGAGCTCAGCAAATCAAGAATCTGGGCATAAAAACAAATCTAAGAACTTTAAGAAATACATTGAAAACATGTAAACATTTTAGTTGTGGGAAAGTATTCATTCTTGTTGGTTCTGGGTAAGTGGTGGGACATTGCTTTCCACGGGGACTCACTTCCACATGTTCCTGGGCTGTGAGGGTGGACGGCAGATTTTTTTCTTTGTCTACTTTTGGCAGAATTCCATTGTTAATCACACCAAAACAATTCACAGATCTGAAGTGACTCCTCGGTTCAGAAGCTTAGTTTGATGTTCTGTGAATCCAAGTGTTACAAATTTGATCCCTCTCTTTCACAAAACATGCACTTCAAAATCCTTTGGAGTAAGATGTGAGTGACTTGGTATAAATAATTTCCACATGTCGCGGCATGAGCCTCCCTGGCTTTCTCTCCGCATACACAGAGAGCAGGCTGTCAGATATTATCCCCTACACTGAAATCTCTAATTAGTAGACAGCAGATCACTTTATATAAATAGGTCCCTCTGTGTGGGATTTTGGAACACAGGCACCCTTTTATGTTTAACTAAACATGTTTGTAAAGACGAAAGTTTGGTTCTCTAGTATCTGAAAGTTTGCAATGCCTAATGGGAAGAGTCCTGTGTTTGAAATTCCCTTACGATCTTAGCGTCAGCCGTTAATTTACCTAGATAGCGCCTAAGGATGTAACTACCTGCACTGGAAACCAGTCAGGTCACCTTTTTTATTTTTGAATTGATTAAAGTTTGAATAAGAAGCTTGTTCAGTAGAGCCTAGAGTGAGGCAGGGAAGATTATGAATGCTTCTCCGGGGTGTAACTGTGGGCAAGGCACTCAAATGTTATGGCTTTACATTTGGCCTTATTTGTAGGTAAAAAGGTCGAATTAGAAAATAACCAAGGTTGCACCTGGGCTTCGACTCTATGTTCCATAGTACTTGAGAGTACAAGTTTTATTCCACCATTATATTTGTTTTTTCCAAGTAGTCATCACTCAGTATGGGTGGGAGGCGCAGTTCCAGGCCTCCCCACGTGTACTGGGGTGCGTACACATTCATACCCAGCCGTTGGCCCTGCCCAGTCCAAGTAGATGCAGGGTTTCCATCTCTCCAATACTGTGTTATCAACAGGTTTTGGTTGAAAAAATTTGCCTATATGTGGAGCCACTCAGTTCAAATTCTTGTTGTTCAAGGGTGAACTATAAACTTTTCAAATTTAGTTTATGTTGGATAGTGAGACCATGCACAATGGGGGCGGGGGGCAGGGGGCAGGGGGCAGGAACTCACTGAAAGAACCATCCGGAAATAAAGGATACGTTTAAACTCTGCCATTTACTCTTAGCAAATCTTCAGAGACTCTGTTCTGAGCATTTTAGTTTCAAAGGGCACAGCATCCCCCAAGGAAAGGAACACCGTCCGGCTATTACTGTGGCGTGTCAGCTGTTCTTTTTTCTCCTGTTTTTCTGATGACAGATCGAACTAGAGCAGCTCCCTGTTTTCTGTTTTATCAGTGAAAGGAATTCGGGGAATTATGTGGGTAAATATGACATTCTTTTCTTTTTGAAAGCACGTTCATCCCTTTTTGATGCTGGAGAAACTCACCTTTCAGGAATTATAGTTAACAATCAGTTCCTCATTTTCTAACATAATATAATAGTGTTGAGTTTAGTTCCTACAGATCCGGGCTCACCTTGGGCTCATCCTGCATTGTCCTGAAGAAGTGGGAATACGGAGGGCAGGGGAGGGGCGCGCAGACCCCCGGGGGATGTGTGTTCCCGAGAAATCCCCGCTGCAGACTCTCATGCCTTGCTCCCTGCTCCGCAGCCTCGGAGTCCGTGTACGTGGTCTCCCTGCAGTCCATGAACACCCAGGGGCAGAGCCAGCCGGTCTACAGGGCTGCCCTGACAAAACGGAAGATTTCAGGTATGTTGCCGAGGACGCATTTGGTCAAACTGTGGGCTCCTATGAGTGCCCTGCTGTTTCCAAACGGTGCGGGCTGGATGGCGAAGTACGTGAATTTTTCTGAGGATAAAAGGAGCATCGGGGCAGACACTGTCACCTTTTATGTGCAGACCCTAGTGTATTCTTGTGACCGAATAGCCATCCCTATGTATTTTGAATGGCTTCACTGAGCAGTAGATACACCGTGTGAGGGGAGCCAAGTGTTCATTCCACAGACAGGCACAGTCTGACCCACACATAAACCACCCTCAGCAAGGCACTGAGTGAAGTCAGAGACAGACTAGCAGGTGTGGATAGCAGGCACATGTGATTTCAGCCGACTCTGCCTAAAAATGGCATCGAGAATTGTGAGAATCATTTAATAGTGGTTTGCTGATAGCCTATCATTGTCCACTTACTAAGGGACACTTTTCTCCACGCTCACTAACACATATCTTTTATGTTACTTATATATTAACAAATTACACATACCTTTCCTGGACAATGTGCCTTAATTTAAAGAGGCAGTCTACAACTATATAATCTATAGTTATTTTCATGAACTCACAACACGAAATGAAATGTATTTTATATTATATAAAGAAGCCCACATATATGATGTTTCACTTTTATTATTAATTAATTGCTGCCAGAGAAAAGTCCCTGTATCACTTTTCTAACAGACTACATATTTCCAAGTTCTGCTCAAGCTAAAGTCCACATCCTTTGGAAACACGGTCCCTGTAAAGTAAATACACAAAAACTACACAAATACACAAAAATACACAAATACACAAAAATACACAAAACTAAACAAACAGAGGGCAAGACAAAAAACCCGAGAGACTGAAACGCAATAGTGAAGACACCTTGTGCATCTTAATTTGTTAGAGATTTGGAGACTGAACTAAGACGATTAACTTTATGACTACGATATATCCTAGGAACAGCAAAGGTGAATCTCTGTAAGAAATTGACAGACTGAATTCTATTTGATGTCTGAGTAGAAATTTTAATCTGTCCTGGAATCACCTGTCCTAAAATGTGAGGACATGGAACCCAAGGTGATTCTTATAGTTATTTGAACCCAAATTTTCATTTCGTACCTTAATTGCCAAGGAAATGTGAATTAAGCTTTTCTTCCACTAAACTTTTGCTTTCCATAAAAACTGTATTATTGCCCCCAAAAGTTACAGTGTGTATGAAGAAAACACCAGGTCCCCTGGACCGTCTTTGGCCGGGTGAGCAGCTGTTGTACTATTCTGTACATCAGCTTTTAAAAGGAACTGCCCATTTCTCAGGCTGTGTTTAAGAAAAGTGAGAGTGGAGATTTTTTTTTTCTACACTGACCAATCAAATAATTTCCTAGCTCTCTATCCATTTCATTTTGTCTACTTTAAGCATAAACAATCTAAAAACTGTGCAGGTGAGTCAGGGCAGAGCCCACTGTTAGAGAAGTCCCTTTCTATGGGTCTCATTGTCATTTCAGAAGAGGATGAACTGGATGTGCCCAAAGACATCAGTGTCCGGGTTATGTCATCCCAATCTGTGCTTGTGACCTGGGTGGATCCCGTTTTGGAAAAACAGAAGAAAGTTGTTGCATCGAGGTACATTTGCTTGTTTTTTGTCTCTTATGTAGGAGAGAAGTGGGTTTTCTGGCCCTAAAAAGGCATGTGTTTAATGATTTTATTTTCTGACTTACATGGATGCTAGCCTCTTTGGTAGCGCAATGGCTGAATATTTTATGGCAATCTAGTTAATCCCAAGTATGGTTGCACATTTCTCACAAATCAGATACTCCCAGGGCCTGTGTGTAACACATGGGGCAGGACCTCACACCCTACTTGCTCAGAGTTTCATCTTATGACAAGAAGTCTCCCAGACGGCATTTCTTTCTTTGTTCCATTTGGGTTTTGCCTTGTCTCATTCATGCTCTGTGCGTGTGCCGGGCCCAACTCAGGAGCAGTCCTACCATTCCTACTGCTGTCCAGGGAGAGTCGTGGCAAGATGAATTTCTGTAGCGTGGTGAATACTCAGTGGTTTCCCATTTAGACATTTACCCAACACTGAATTGCTTCATGTCCAGCTTGTTCCTGCATAACAAAATGCACCTTATTTTCTCTTAAATGGTGTTTTCATGTTCATTTGCTATAGCAATAGAAGAAAAACCAGTACTAGGGTTAAAATAATTTATAGGTTAAAAGGCCACTGGGAACACCACTTCTGGCTAAAGGTAGATTAAATACAGCCATCAAAATGTTTTGTATTCAATGACTGAACAGTTTATATAACCAAGAGAAAGCCCAAAATTTGATGGTCTGCTTGTTTTTATTTAATTTTAATTTTTAAAATTATTGTTTCAGGTTAATGTAAGGATATAAGGAATTAGGTTACAATGTTGCACTTGTTCAGTCCAGTCCCTCTTGTGGCCTACTTATTACATACCAAACCTATCTACAACCAGGAGAAGGGAATGTACTGTAATCTGGAGAGCACAGAATGTTGAGACTATATTCACATATAAACTGTTATTCAGATAGTGAAAGATACCTGCATTTCCTTAAAGACCTTGGGAAATGCATAGTGATGCTCTCCTTAGCCACATGGCCTTCCCCCACATGCAGAGTCCCTGATGACCACTGGGCTTTGATTTCCAGCATTTTGCTGAAAATCAGAGGTTTGAGTTTTCTCAGCGGAACTGTTGTGTTAAGTGGCGTGGCGTGTCTTCAGCTGAAGCCTTTTCCTGACATACTATATGTAGCAAATAGCACACTTTCAATGGATCGAGTGCTTTCCACTGCAAAGAGGCTCCAAAGAAAGTTCTTTGAACAGAAATCCAGTAAACAGCATTTGCAACTCTTTAGGGTATCTGCTGCCTGGGGCTGTTGAATTTTCCACGTTTGGTCACATAGCATTTCTCTCTAATCACACATCAGAATCACTTTCATAAGGTCCTTGGTCCCTTTCTGTTTGTGACACATTTTTGTTCCTTTTCATGGTAATAAATCTACTCAAAACCACATGTTCCCTTTCTGCCCGAACCTATGGAACACAGGCCTGATTTTTTGGTCATTTTTCGGGTGATCTGAGACACCTGAGGTCCTTTCTGGCCCTAATGTTGCCCCTTCCGTGCCTCCAGAGACGCAAATGTGCACACATACCCCTGGTGCGGTAGTCGCCTGGCCAGACCCATCTCCTTTCCATCCCTCCCCTTTATAATCTCTCCTTAGTCTTCTGAGCAGTTAAGACTTTTTGGTCTTGAAAAGGCTGTAAGATCGTCTTTCCTGCCTGTGCTAGGACCTTCACCTGAAACTTACGCTGATTCTTTGAGCCAATAACAGTCAAAAATTTGGATTTTTCTCCTCTTTGATTTCCCTGCGTACCTCCAGAAGTCGTCACTTATGGTGACAGCAAGGACCTAGTGTTCAGTTGCTGAGACTTGGAGATATCGTTGTATCGCATTTTCTTACAGACAGTACACCGTGCGCCATCGAGAAAAGGGGGAATCCGCCAGGTGGGATTACAAGCAAGTCACCAACAGACGTGTGTTGATTGAGAACCTGATTCCAGATACTGTGTATGAATTTGCAGTCCGTATTTCTCAGGGGGAAAGAGATGGCAAGTGGAGTCCATCAGTCTTCCAAAGAACACCAGAATCTGGTCTGTACTCAGCGTGGCCTTTGGACTTACAATTTGGGAATCATTCCTAAAATAAGAGTTAAAGTAAATAGGTGAAGAAGCCAATAGTGACAGAGGCTGGCAAGAGCATTTTTTCAAAGTCACATGAACCCTAGGTTTTTGTGCTGCTTCTATGTATAAATGCAGTGAAGTTAGAGAGCGTTTCCTTGGGTCCCTGTTTTTATCCTTTGTGGCCTTTCCACTGACAGGTTGTTCATGTTGTTCTGACTCATGTGGCACATTAAGTCCCAGCATGTGGCACACACAAGCTGTCACTGCATGAGTGAATGCCCTGGTGATGTGTGGCTCTGACATGTAGGACAGATGTTTCCTTCCTGTGGCTGAGGTTGTTTGATTCTGGGGGAGAATTTTGCTCCATATCCAAGGCTGTAATTCTTTTCTTTTAAGCCATATCTTTAAAAGTTCTATTAAGAAAAATTTAGAAGTGGGTTTTATGGATATTCTTTGGATATTTCAATATTTAGCAATGAGAGAAATTCTGAATTCCTAAAGGCATTTCCCTAGGTATGTCTAAACTCAGTATATGAGTTGATTGAAGTGACATAAATCACTATATTACACAAAATGCAGGTATAGAATTTTCTCTCATCTATAATAAAAATTAATACTGCAGCTCTCTAGTGAAATGTGCATACATAGAGACTGCATGTTATTTGCTTTTAGGATATCCCCTGGAGCATTTACAAGTGTTTGATTCCTTGTCCTTCGTAGCTCCTACCACAGCTCCTGAAAACTTGAACGTCTGGCCAGTCAATGGGAAACCTTCAGTGGTCACTGTATCTTGGGACGCACTGCCAGAGACGGAGGGCAAGGTGAAAGGTAGGGATGTCACTCTGTAAACCATAAGATACATGGATTCTGATAAACACTGCCTCTACTCACAGTTTTGGTAACCCAAGGAACGAGGATACCTCCTGCAAGATTTTCATTGTCTGAGATCCAGGTAGTTGTAATTCTTTTTGTCTTCCTATGAAGGGTTTTTAGTGTTGCTCTTAGGAGAGATGTTTTTGCATGGGTATGACATCATAACTTTCACCCAGGCAGACAATGCCCTGGTTTTCAAGCTATGGGTCTTTTTATTGTACCAGGAAGATCACGAATGTAGGAGCAACAGCTATAGAACCATAAATATCTTTAATGAGACCATCAATATATTGAATGAGTTTGAGAAACTCAAGTGGTAAGTGATGGAAATGGATTTATTTCCTATTTGTCATTATCTCTCTAGCTATTTCTGTATGTATGTATGTCATGGACATAAATACTGAAGATTTAAAAGAATAAAAAGAGAATAAACTATTCACAACTAGCTAAATGTAACAATTTTTGAAACTACTAAATAAATATCCCAGTCTTTTTAATGTAAGAGCATCCAAGAACCTTCTAGAAGTCTATAGTCTAGAGCTATATTAAGTTTTTTTCCTAGCATTTCCTATACAAATGCACCCTAAGGGTACCAAGGAATGGAATTTCTATTTAAGAAAGAAGTATAGTTTTATTGTCATTAGATGTTTGGGACAACTTTAAGCCTAATTGGTCCAGAAACTATAAAAGTTTGTATAAGCTTTAAGAAATCAAAAGCTTACCACTAATCTCCTTTGGGAGTGTCTTAATTGAAAAAAAAAATTGGATAGTTCATTTTTGTAGCAAACTACAGGTTATTTTTGCTGACATCTAGGATGTCTTTTCATGGAATAATAGAAGTTGAAGAAGGTGAATGTGGAATGGTATTTTCTGTACTTAATGCTTTTTCTCTTTTCAGTGTGCCAGAAATAGGTTGTACTATTTTTCTTTCTCATGTTTTCCCTACAGGAATAAATCAAAAACAAATGAAGAGAATAAATATTTAGTTGGCCCCTTTAAATCATTCTTTTGTGACAATTTGGACGTTGACTCCTGTATCCAGTACAGTGGTGCTGAAAAAGTCTCTGAAAATTGGATTCAGACATTTTTTTCACTCAACAACTTTTTGTTTTATAAAAGTCAGTGTTGCGTCTATCATGACTTTATTAACAGGCTACTTATTTGTTCTTCCCCCGCTCCCATATCTTAGTTTCTATTTAAAGCTCTTTGGGGAGAGAAGCTCCTGGGTAGTCAATCATATATTGCCAGAAGGAATAATAATGACAGAGTTTTTATGCCCAAAGAACTCATATATCTTAGTTACTTAGATAGTTTTCATAAGGGTGGGATTGAAATTCATAATCATAAGATATATAAAACATAACAGAAGAACATACTTTAACAGGGTTAAATTTTTTCCAAATTAATTGAATTTGTACAGAAATCTGAATTATAAAATTTTATAGACCACAGGCTCTCTTAAAACTTACTTTTGACCACCACAAATGATAAATTTGTTCATTTTCAATAAGAAAAGAATGCTGTTTTTTTTTTTTTCAGGAAAATACTGCCAAAACACTTTTGAATGAAAAAGATTTAAATTAATGTACTTTTTAAAGATGAGAGCATAGGGAAAAGAAAAGACTTCCCCTGCTCCTGATAATTGCTTGATTTTTGTGTAATTTAAATTATTTTTCTTAGCTACTACTCATATTAATAGGATAAGTCTTGTAAATCTTGAGTTCCTGGAGAGGAAAATAGGCCTGAAAATTTTTAGTTGAAGGTAAAAATTGTGTTTTAAAATATGACTTCCTTACAATATTTTCATGTAAGCATAGAGATATTTTAGCTCTTTGGATATTTTAGTGTTTTACTTCTTTAGTTCTTTGGACCGTGGTTTTAAAATTTCAAGACTATTACATACTTAGAGATATAGTCAATTAAAGATGAATACATTACACGTCACATAAATCTGTTACTTAACAAATTTCTTCATAGTTTTAAATACTGTGAAACATCCTTCTCAGCATATATTAAGAACTTCGATAATTCTTACAAAAATGAAATTATGTTCCAAATATAGACTTTTCCTGGCTGAATATGCTAATAAAACTAACTCAGCTTAATAAACTGAAACGCTTGAAGCTGTCAGCAGTGTTCACGGTCAGTTCCTAGCAGCTGTCACTTCTTTTTCCTTAGCTGCTTCTATTCAGGATATAGTCTATCATAGCAATTAGTAAATAAAACCAAACAACACCCCCCATGTAAGTACTTTAGGGAATTGTATGAAGGCTGGCCTTCTTGGTTCCATATGTTTAAATTGCTTAAACTTGCAAAGATACAACTAATTAAATCCATAGCCCTGTCTGGTTCCCCAATGAATGTGCAGTCACCTTCTGCCGTGCCCAGCTGGTACCTGGCATGCATTGCTAGCATATTAATTTTAGTAACGCACGTTCTCATTCATCCTGCCACACGGTCTGTCTGCTGGACACGGGACCGTTTTCAGTTCCCCCTTCCAACTGTCTGACAAATCATTTCAGAATACATTCTTTCCTACGCCCCGGCTCTCAAACCATTTGGAGCGAAGTCCCTCACCTATCCTGGAGACACTACTTCTGCCCTGGTGGATGGTCTGCAGCCTGGAGAACGCTATCTTTTCAAAATCCGGGCCTCAAACCGGAGAGGGCTGGGCCCTCACTCCAAAGCCTTCGTTGTCGCTCTGCCAACAAGTAAGCATTGCGTTTGTGGCTCCCTTTTTTCTCTCTCCTCATTCATACTATTCGGTTTGTGTTTCTTTGAGTCACGCTTTGGGTTTAGAACTGCTCAGTTGATGATTTTTGGGGGGGACTAAGCCGCATATTGATTTTAAAATATTTTTGTAGTCCCTTTAGAAATTAGTCTCCCCAAAGACTGTTATTGAGTGTTTGATAACATTATCACTCTCATGTTATTAACGTCTTAGTTATATGATTAATCCTATGTCACTGTTTAATTTGGGGCATGTGACAAGGAAAGAATATGTTTACATGTGCAATGTGACTTTTTTTTTTCCTTGTTAGTTTGATTTTCTGCAGAGCATTAAAGTTTGCCTTCTATTATTTCAGGAACACACTTTACTCAGAAAGATTTCAGTTGTCTGGCTTATCTGGTCAGTATCAAACCAAACAAGTTAGTAAAGACCCCAAATCGGAGCGGAGGGGGCTGGGGCCAGGTTTTCTTCTCCACTGCCCCACTCTATGGCCGGATGTTGGCAGCACTGTCTACTGTGCTGTGAGGGTCTGTGCTGTGCTGCAGTATAAAACAATTTTGTTCTGGAACAAACTGTGATATAGACAAAATTTGCTCCCTGGGGACCCTCCACTGCTGTATAGGGCCCCTAGTAAGATCTTTGCCTTCAGTCAGTCCTGCTCTTGACAGGGTGACTTATGGGACATTTAATATAATGTCTGTCTATCCCAAGAGTCTTTTTATTTTAAGCCTTATTTTTGAATAAGAAGTGTTTTTATTATCAAAGGAATTTTAAGCAAGAAAGAAAAAGTAAGGGAGGATATGTTGGGGGCCAATAGGAAACCCTTTACAATGCCTCGAAAATTTCACACTGGTTGCTTGTCACACAGAACACATTCCCCTGTGGTTTTGAACATAGATCACTGAGCATTTTGCATTAGGCTTACATGTATTTCCCGCCTGTGAAGAATAGCTACCATGCATTTGTGATACACTGACTATTAGTTATAATGAGAAAATCCTACATAAGGTTTTGCATTTACAAAATAAATGAATTAACTCAAAGTACTCATTTCAGAATTCCTTCATATAAGCCGTGACATAATCTGATTCAATTTATAGAGATTCAATTCGCATATATTTTCTGAGACCGTGTCTGTTAACTTAAAGCAAAATAGAGCTTGAAAAAAGAATGCTATCATTTGGAAAATAAGTTTTCAGTGTTGTCAGGAATTTGAAGTTTTCAGTTGTGATTATTGACTTGAAATGCCTCCACACTGCCATGTTAAATACGCCCCTCGTGTCACACAGCTTTTGAATTTCTTCTTTGACAGTCAATTATTTAAATCTGTTATAGCCAGGCGCAGTGAGTCCAATGTTCAGCAGAACACAGATGGTCACTGGAAACCTCAAAAACCTGAGCCTCCCTCAGCTCCTCCCAAAGATTCAGCTTCCTCAAGACACTCTGCTCCTCCTCAAGATAGAAACGTCAAGGACCCCCTTTTTGACTTGAAGAACAAAATATTGGCTAAGGGTGGGGTGTCCAGAAAACTGCCACCTCGCCACAAGAAGACTGAAGAGTTGGATGTTCAGTCAATAGAAGTCACCAATGCCGAGGAGCCCGATTCCCTGGAGGACCCACTGGCCTTGCCTTCAGGGACCCAAGGCCAGAGGCGACCCCTGAGGCCCCCAAGTAGGTACGGACTCTCAGTGGTTGCTCCAGGCAGGACTCCAGTGCTGCCCCAGAGGCAAGGTGAAGATGAACCAGGTTCCTCCTTGGTGGCTCACCCTCGCTCAGGGACAGCCCCCTCAGCAGCGGCCTCTTCTGCCCACCACACAGCCACCCACCACGCAGCCACCTCTCACCGTCCTTCTGGGGGCCTCTCTGCCAATCTGCCGGCTAGCTCTGCAGACAACGACTCAGTGGATCCAGACGAGGATGAGCGAGCTGCAGGCTCCCTCCATCCCAAGGACATCTCTGCCCAGCAGCCGCCCCCTAAGAGCCGCACCCAGACCCAGCCAGCCCTGTCTCCCAGCCGCCAGTCAGCCTCCAGCATCCTGCGGGACAGAAGTGCCATGCAGCATGGGACAAAACCAGCATTACCGGCACGGAGGACACCCCATTCTGGGACCATGGAGGAAGATTTGAGTGTTTCAGCCCCAGCATCAAGACTTTCTCCACCCTATCGGGGGTCATCTCGGCTGCTGCCCACCCAACCGCACCCAGGCTCTCTGCCCTCCAGGGGTTGGAAGGATGGTCATGAAGCCCTAGCTTCCAACATCAACGCACCATCACAGTCCACTATGTCTTCCTCCAAGACACAGGTCTCTGAGGGAGCAGATACTTTTGATGGGCAGGATGACAGTGACAATGAGGCAGAAGACAGCAGGAGGCCGGCAGAGGCCACTGCACAGACTCTGCGGACCCGGCCTGCCTCTGGACACTTGAGTTTGCTCAGACACAGGCCCTTTGCTGCCAATGGCAGGTTTCCAAACAGGTTTGGCGGTGGCCGGGGACCCCGGCTCCAGCCTTCCAGCTCCCCCCAGTCCACTGTGCCCTCTCGAGCCCACTCTAGGGGTCATTCTCACCCAGCATCCCTCCCCAGGACTGGCTCAGGTACCCACGGAGATGAGGAGGACGAGAAGCCACTTTCTGCGACGGTGGTCAATGACCACATGCCTTCCTCCTCCAGGCAGCACACATCCCGGGGATGGGACCCCCTAAAAAGAAGCCCCCAGAGAGGGGCCAGCCTACTCCAGAAGGAGCCCATCCCAGAAAATCCCAAAACTGCAGAGACAGGTGCACATTCTCAGGGCAAATCCTCTTCTTTGTCCTCTAAGGAGCAGGACCTTCAACAGAGCACAGATGTGGACATGGAGGACCTCAACCCCCCAAAGCAGCCAGTGTCTACAGGGCGCCAGCTGTCCCCTGCTCGTCCTCCCACAGCACGGTCACAGCACTACCCTAGGCCCAGTGTTCCCAGAAGGATAACACCAGGCCGGGCCCCCGAAAGTCAGCACCCCTCATGGGTCTCCACATCCCAGCACTATCCCTCGGGCTCCCAGAGCAAGGATGCGGGGCGGTCACTTTCCCAGCCCAAACTTGCACTTGCTCAGGCTGGCCGTCCCCGCCCCACGTCGCAGGGCAGTGCCCACGCCCTCTCTGACCCGCACAGGGCGAGCTCCCGAGGGGTGCTGCATGCGGCGCGACAGAGCCAGGACGAGGATTCCCAGAGCAGCGAGGACGACAACAGTACAGGACTGGGGGCCCCTGCCCGTGCCAAAGATGCCACCCTGCTCCTGCCCAAGCATCGTCAGGTGTTGTCGCCGGCGGGGAGCCCCGACCACAGACCCCAGCGTGGACACGCAGGCTCCTCGCCAAGGCCCGGCTGGCCCCAGCCCCGCGCCCGAGTCCCCAGCAGGGCAGGGTCCCCTGCCGGGCAGGAGGAGGAGGACACCGCCCAGGCCACACCCAGGGAGACAGAGCCTCCTTCCAAGCGGCCCCTCCCGTCCAAATCCCAGCAATCAGTCTCGGCTGAGGACGACCACGAGGAGGACGAGGAGGGATTCCTGAAAGCAGGAAAAGAAGACCCTCTGTCTTCCCCTGTGGCCAAGTGGCCCTCCTCCTCCACCCCCAGGGGCAGCAAATACGCCGACGGCAGCACCGCCAAGGACAAGCGGGAGCCTGGCACTGTGCCGGCTCCCCGCGGAGGGAGCCCGGTGCAGGAGAGCGACGCTCTGGGGAAGCGACCCGCAGGCAGCCCCCCGAGGGCCTCCGCCCTCCTCCCCCGGCCGCCGCCCCGCAGCCCTGCCACCGCGGGTCCTGTCACGGCCACGCCCTCGTGGCCACGCCCCGCCGCTCGCGCCCCCCCCAGCTCCTCCCCGACCCCCATGCTGTCCCTGCGCCAGCGCATGATGCACTCGAGGTTCCGGAACCCCCTCTCGCGTGCGCCCGGGAGGCCCCCTCACAGACAAGGTAAGTTGGTTTTTACGAAACAGTCGCTTAACCTGTTCTTAAAGGCGCTCACTAGTGTGTATGGCCGTTCCTGAGAGGTTTTGACTTTATTTAGGGTCTACTATGACTAAGAAGTTTGCACGTGTAGTGTGAACTCGTCCTCTCGGGTGTGCATTGCCACTCCCGGGTTTCAGATAAGGAAGCCGGGGACCCGAGTGGCTTGCCCCAAGTCAGGAGCCGTGGAGTGGCCACCGTTCCAGTCCCACACTGTCTAACTGCACAGCCCTCTGTCCTAACAGTGCCCTGTACTGCCTCTTTGAATTCCTCAGGTCACACTCTTAAGTGAAAATGTGTCACAGACATGATGCCAAACTTAGGTCCCCGCGTTTTAGATTCAAGGGCTAGCCAAGCTTTAAGGAATCCTGCGGAACAAGTTCCGCAGGGAGGCTGATCTTCTCATCCCCTGCATACAAAACTCTGAATCTAACAAACCCTGGGTCAAGCCCAGGTGTCTTAGGTATGAATTGCTCAGACCTTGCCATCAGTCAATGTTGTTCTAAAACTTCCAGAAAACGCATGGCAAAGATGGTTGTCACAGGTAGGCAGGTGTGTGCCTGGAATTTCTAGAACAGAGGATAGAACATAGAGAGCTATGAACTGCAGTCTGTGTGGCCCCCTGGGAAGGGTGTGAGTCTTCCCCATACATTTGCACTCAGTTAAGTGGTGAGCTCTTGCATGTCATTGGGGCTGCACAGAACATTCTTGAATGAATGTATTATTTTTTTTGTTAATCTGTACAACACATCTATTTTAGCCCAATGTAAAGACAGAAAATAATGCCACACGTCAGGCTCAGATTTCCACTAAGACTGGCTGTTTTAAGCAAACCTAACACACCAAGACTAGAGGTAAAACTCAGTATTTCCCTTGAGCATAGCAGGAACTCAAAAAATATTTAGTGAATAAATGAAGGAGTGAGAGAATGTGTCTAATCTGCATGTGACTGTCAGAGAGCTCAGGCATCTTACCGGCAGGTGAGGCTGGCTCAGGGCAGAGGGTGCTGTTGAGACAGCTCCACAGGGGATTCTGGGGGACTGAGACAACTGGAGGGGTGCTGCTGTATCCTCTTCCTACTCTGAGGACATGCTCCCCAGGCAGCCCCAGAGTTCAGCAGGCTGGGAGACAGCATTGTGCACTTAGACTTGGCAGTTGATGACTGGGATCTGAGTCAGCTAGAAATATTAGTAGTTGTCACATTTAGTAGGACATGCAGAGAAACACAGAAGGCTTCTAGTACACTTTGGAGATAATTTTCTCTGTCCTTCCAAATCTTTCTCCCTCCAGCTTCCAAATGGCTAAAATAAAGCTACAGCTACTAAGGGTATAAACTTTATATGGTGATTTTACTTAAGCTGCACATGCTCATTCCCCCAGTGGTGTCAGAAAACCATAGCTTTACTATACTCTTAACAGAAATTCATGTTTGTCCTGGAGAAGTCACAATTCAAGACTGTCCTTATCGAATATAATTGAACTATTGGTTCAAAATTCTGTTTAGTGTTAGACATGATGTGTTATTACCTGTAGTTTGGTTTGAAGCCAAGTTTCCAGGAATATTAAATGTTGAACTTACTGGGCTCTGTTATTATTTTTTTTTTGTACTGTGTAGGTTATAATGGGGGACCAAACGTAGACGGGAAAAGCCTTCCTGGTGGTAATGGAAAACCAAGTGGACAGAGAATTATCAATGGCCCTCAAGGGACAAAGTGGGTAGGGTACACTTCTTTACACATACAAGTTGTTTTCATGCTGTTGAGAAGAGAAATATGGTGAACACTGTGTGATTGTGATAAAACTGTCTTTATTTGCTGCTGTTCCTCCAGTTTTAACCACTCATAGGTGAAGATACTTGATTATAGTTTCTTGCAATGCTCAGAAAGATCCTTGGTTTTTCTGAGTAACTAGGGTTTTTTTCTTCTTAGAGCTAGTAAGATAAGGCCAGGGCCTTTGTTTTTCATTTGCCTTGTCTGGTTAGAAAGGTTAAACAAATGTATGGCTCAACCCTGGCAATTACAGAGGTAATGAATAGCCTCTCAAATGAACTTATTTTTTCCCCTGTCCTGATAGCTTCATTTTATTTTTAATTTTTGTTTACAGTTTTATTAAATTTACACATTTTCCATAAGTTGTCTGAAATATTTTCTAAAAGGAAGCAGAATAAAAATAAAAAAACTCTGAATTATACCATAGGCAGTTTTCATTAGATCATCTTTTGAAACTTCTTACATTTGTTGTTTGACTAAAATCATATATTAGTATTTTACGTATGTCTAAATTAGATTATTTTCACTACCTAAGGTTAAAACAAATGTTTAGGGGTCTTGTTGCATTGAGAGTAATAGAAAGAGTACCTCACAATATTCAGGGATTTAAAATTTAAAAAAAAAAATTTATGCTAGAATTCTCAGTCAAAACTTCCCATTTACAACAATAAATTTTAGGAAAACATACTAAAGGACTTTATGAAATTTTCAACCGTAGGTGATCTAAAGATGCATATTGCTATTTCTCAAAGGCATAGGGTTTTATAATAGCCAGAAAGTACGCTACAGCAAAATGTCATTGCCAAAAATTTTGAACTGAAATAGAATGAGGTGGATTTCAAAAGTAGATTTTATATAAACTTTATTATAATTACTAAAACAGCACCCAACAGAGCGGCATGGTTCTAGGGCTGCCTCCAGTAGCCCGATCTAGCCAAGCAGTGGTGCTCCAGTGTTAGCCAGCTTGGGATCACTGGAGGATAGTCAAATTCAGGTACAGGTAGGGCTGGGTGACTTGAGTTTATGACGAGTTCCTTTGTGATGCAGAGGCTTCAGGTCATGGGCCAGCTTTGAGAACTGCCAGCAAAGAGCATGAACTTTTTCCTTAATAGAGACAATAATCGCTTTTTTCAAGTCTTCTAGTTTCTTAGAATATGGAATTTTTGCATGCATAGTATATTAGACAATGTTATTACAAATGATATTGCTTTTGCTATAGCAACATTGATTTTTAATATTAACAGCAAATGGAAACATGTTTTTCATATACTAAAAATAGATGTTCATTGCAAAAAGCGAAAACAATTCTGAATGTATGAAAAAGAAGAGAAGCTTCCGCAATCCTGAGCTACTTCTCGTTGATGGTCATTGTTACCAGTTTGGGGTCTATCGTTCCAGCGATTTTTTCTCTGCAGTCTTAATCTTATGTACACAAAAGAATATATTTTTGTTTTTGCAAAATGATCATCCCTGTTATCTGAGCTCAGCATAGGTCTATATATACAGACCCCCCCCCCCCGGTGTCCTTTCCCTTGCCTGCTTTATTTTCCACAATATGTGTGGCCCATTATTTATTTCTTCTCTTCCCCCAGTTGATAGGCACTGTGTTGTTTCTCTTTCCCAGAATTAGCCATACTGTACTTACTGGTAAAAATATTTTGAACATCTTTTATGTATTTGAGAAACTTAAAACAGTTTACATCTTATACGAGTAAGCAAGTATAATATGAAATGTAAATAACTGGTTTGTACTTTATTTGAAAACCTTGTAATGATCCTGACAAAAATCGTGTCTCCTACTCACATTATGGTTTCCTTCTGTGAAAACTTCACACATACATACATGTAGTTGGACAGATAGGAACATTTGGAGACGGTCGGTGTATTCTTTAATGTATGTATGTCATGGATTTAGGTTGTGGACCTTGATCGTGGGTTAGTATTGAATGCAGAAGGAAGGTACCTCCAAGATTCACATGGAAATCCTCTTCGGGTTAAACTAGGAGGAGATGGTCGAACCATTGTGGGTAAGTGAGAGTGGTTATTAAGGAACAATAGTCTACTGAATTAGTTGTGGAGGAACTGTCCTCCACGCCTTCATTTTTAATGGTTGTCCTTGGTCTAGTTACTTTTAGCCACGTGGGAAGAAGAGCCTCAAAAGAGGCAGAACTCAGCGTTCCCTGTCCTACAGCTTTAGTCAACCCCTGCAGACTCCAGCCTCTGGAAAATGTGGCCTTCTGCGTTGCTCTTGAAATTGGGCAGTTTGGGGAGGGGGTCTGCAAACTACAGCCTGCAGGCCAGACCCTGTCTGCTGCACATTTTTGTCAGTCTTGTGAGCTCAGAATAGTTTTTACATTTTTAAGTGATTTCTAAAGAAAGAAGACAATTTTGTGATATGTGATAATTGTAAGAAATTAACATTTCAGTGTCCAGACACAAAGTTTTATTGGAACACGGAAACATTTATTTATGTGCCGTCTAATCCATTGGCTATGTGTTGTTATGTGTTACTTGTCTGTTTGCTGCTTTCGCACTACCTGAGTTGAGTAGTTAGTACAGAGACCATCTGGCCCAGAAAGCTTAAAATATTTACTCCCTGGCCCTTAACAGAAAATGTTTGCCCCTCCTGGTCCAAAGTAATGCTTTTGCTCCTTAGGAGCAGGAATGAGGAAGAGGAAAGAATGTCTTCCTTTAGACACTAAGAGTTATCTCAGGATAATGGGCACACTGATGAAATATTTATATATGGTAATATGTATGATGGGCAATACAGTGAGCCCAGAAACTTCTGAACAACAGAAGGCATTGCCTCCCCAGCTGATGCCCTTTTAATTATTTTGCCTTTTCCCTGACTGGAACATGGTAATGCCTAAGCTTTGAGAAGATTTTTATCACTTGCTTTTGTTTTCTCTGGATTGTTTGGCCTTCTTGCATAGCTCTTGGGTGATTTTGTTTCAGATCTGGGAGGGACCCCTGTGGTGAGTCCAGACGGCCTCCCCCTCTTTGGGCAGGGGAGACACGGCACACCCCTGGCCAGTGCCCAAGATAAGCCAATTTTGAGCCTTGGAGGGAAGCCCCTAGTGGGCTTGGAGGTCATTAAAACAACCACCCATCCCCCCACCACAACCACACGGCCTACCACCACCACCACCACGACGACGACCACGACGACCACGACGCCCCTGCCCACCACTACGACCCCACGGCCCACGACTGCCACCACTCGCCGCATGACCACAACCCGCCGCACAGCGACCATGCGCCCAAAGGTGAACCGAACCACCATGCGGACAACGACCACCACCACCCCTGAACCCACCACCCCCATCCCTACGTGTCCCCCTGGGACCCTGGAGAAGCACGATGATGATGGCAACCTGATAATGGGCTCTGACGGGATCCCAGAGTGCTCCCCTGAAGAAGGTAACCCGCTCGGTTGTGTTGCTAACCCGCTGGGTTCTGTTGGTAACTGGCTCGGTTGTGTTGGTAACTCTCTGGGTTCTGTTGGTAACCTGCTGGGTTCTGTTGGTAACCCGCTGGGTTCTGTTGGTAACTCGCTAGGTTCTGTTGGTAACCTGCCCACTGGTGCCTGAGCCCCCACACTTCAGAGTAGCGGGGCAAAGCTGCAGAGAAGGGGTAAGGGCAGTGTGCAGCAGAACCTTGAGGAGAGGCTCCTTCATCCTAGGACGTGTGTTTGATGTGCCCTGTCACAGGGAAGGCTGTCCAGTTTAGCAAATCCAAGTATTGCATGAGGCATATGAACAAGTTATCTGCAGTTCATTTAAAACCAAAGTTAACTGGGCATCCTGAGTTTTATGTGGCAGCCCTTATTACAACTCGGTGCAAATATTTGTGATGTTATTAGTTGGGACTAGATTTTCCCAAAGCTTGTTCCAATGGATATTAGAAGATTAGTAGTCGTAGGTTGTTTTTTTTTTTCTTAAGGTTCTGTGATTAACTGTGTGTTTTGCACAAGGTTGGATACATTTCTTACTGTTGGAACATTTAGGCCATTGAATAGCCTTGCTGTGAATCTCCAAGTTAAGATAGTGTTTCCCAAGCACATTGGCAGCTGAATGTTTTTTAATCAGCCGTCCCTCTGGAAAATGCCAGTCTTCAGGTGGCTGGCTTTCTTATATGGAAGTGCCTTTTCCCTGCGTTACCATCCTGATCTGGGCTGGCCTGCTGCCCTGCTTTGGGTCTTCCTTCTGAGAAAGGCCCAGGTTCCCTGAAGAACAGGAGCCAGAACACCTATTCCAGGTCATGGGGGAGCCAATGTGATGTTGTCATCCTTTCTGCTGGGTCCCCTGTTCAAAGTGCTTTGGAAGAGGTCATCCTAGATTTGCATCAGGCATGGAGGAGATAAGTTCATCTTCTTTTTCTCAGTTCGAAAGGGATTGCAATGGTGGCTATAAAACTTACGTCTTTTTAAACAAAAGCAGAGTGACGAGCCTCAGGAATTATTTGCATGCACAGAATTCTTACCTACCATTATTGACCGTGACAAGCACAGTCAATTTGAACATGAATTCTGTATCCAAAATAAGAATTCTGTTTGGAGTCTTCCACAGAAAAGTTCCAAATAAACAGGAAAACTTCACATGTCTAAAGAATTCACACCAAAGAACAAGGAAACGCGTTTGGAAGAAGATCATTGGAAAGAAAATTCTTACTCTGTCCATTTACCCTGTGAGTATAAATTTGAATTTACCTTTGAATTTCTTCTACTAAAATATTATGTTACTTAACTTTTTCTACATATGTTATGTATTTAATTTTAAAGATTGAAATAAAATTAAAGAAGAAAATTATTAATTGGTTGTAAACAAAAGAGTGACTATTTGGGATTTAGTTTTAATTAGTATTGCTATTATTTTGCATTTTATTCTGTCTGCTTTTAGTGAGGCCTTTTTAGCATGTTCTTTTTATTGACTTTGTGTTTTGGGACATTTACTTGCATCAAAAGTCAATATTATTTTTAGCATTTTTGATTCTTTTTTTTCTTAGCAAATCATGGCATATATATTCACTCCTACTCAATCTCCTGATTCCTTATTACAAGCCAAAGAACAATGTGACACTTGGAAGCATTTGGGAAATAAGTATTAATCAATGAAACATCCTGGGAGAAAATTAAATTTGGGAATAGCAACATATCCTCATGTGATGTTTTAATGTACTGTAATTTATTATTTAAAAATACTTCCATGTGGCTTATCTTCCTTTTATTGCTCCTGCCACTAACAGCTTTGTTAAACATCTCCTTCTTTTTATTAGTTCAAATCATAATTTTTATCTTTGTAAACCATTTTATTGGGTATGATTGGCATACAGAAAGCTGTCCACATTTACACCATACACTTCCATGAGTTTGCTATAAGGTACACCCAGGACACCGTCACACTACCAAGCTACAGGCATGTCTGTCCCCTTCCAAAGTTTCCCTCCCCGCTGTGTTCTTAGGATTATTTTTTTCTATTTCTTTTTTTTTGTTGTTTTGTTTTGTTTTTTGAGACGGAGCCTCAAGCTATCCCCCTGGGTAGAGTGCCGTGGCATCACGCCCACAGCAACCTCCAACTCCTGGGCTCAAGCGAGTCTCCTGCCTCAGCCTCCCAAGTAGCTGGGACTACAGGCGCCTGCCACAATGCCTGGCTATTTTTTTTTTGCAGCCATCATTGTTGTTTGGCGGGCCCGGGCTGGGGATTCGAACCCGCCACCTTAGGTGTACGTGGCTGGCGCCTTAGCTGCTTGAGCCACAGGCACCGAGCCATTTTTTTCTATTTCTTATGGTAAGAATGCTGACCACAAAAGTGGTAATTGTGTATGTGTGTGTGGTAAGAAGTTAAATTTTTAAAAAGTTTAATAGCTCTATTGAGACATAATTCACACACTATGAAGTTCATCCTTTCAAAGTTTGTGGTTTTTAGACTATTCACTGTTGTGCAACTATCACCACCATCAAATTCCAGAACTTTGTCATCATCCCCAGAAGAAACTGTCACTATTAGTGACTCCCCGTCCCTCCCTCCTCCCAGCCCCTGGAAACCACCAATCCACTGTCTCCCTCTGGGAGTTACCTGTTTGAGACATTTCATATAAATGGACTCATATAATATGTAGCTTTTAGTGTCTGGATTCTTTCACTTAGTGGAATCGTTTTCAAGATTCATGTACGTTGCGGAATATATGAGTGCTTCATTCTTTTTATTCCATCATGTGGATATATCACATTTTTATCCACTCATCAGTCAATGATCCTTTGGGTTATTTCCTCCTTTGGGTAATTATTAAAATGCTGCTGTGGTAATGCAGGAGGGTCCCAGACTATGTGTTCACTAGCACTTGTTATTTGTGTGTCATGGAGGTCACACCCGTGTGTCGATTCCTACATATCATGTGCCTGTTCTGGTACATTGTTGGTGCATATATTTCTCTCTATAGATACACATTCAGGGTTGGGGGTTGTTTTTGCTTTTCAGTTCCCTAAATCTGACTTCTTCATTAGGTAATAAGCTCCTTGCAGTTGAGAAAATGTACCGTAATTCCTTGCGGTGCCTAGTATGTGTCTTTGGGTATCTACACGATACCTTAGAGACAGGCGTTGTCCACTTTCAGAGGTAAAAGTCGGTGCTCCTTGCCTTGCAGGTCCTGTTTCTACAGTAGATCTGATGACATCCGGTGCATCTGGAACTGTGATGAACCAGTTGATATCTTCAAGAATTTATTGAATGACTTCTTGGCATGTTGCAGAAAAACATCAGACGTTACAGAAAATGGCTCTGCCCCATCACAGCTTGCTTTCAAGACAGAAAGTACAAAGGGGATAATCAAAAATTAATTTGAGCTGTGCAAACATCCCTGAGTTTCAAAGGGCTGTCATTTAAAATCTTCCTTCTCCAAACTTCTACCGAGAATAATTTTTTCATATATTTTGAACAATCTCTGGAGCAAAGGCCTTACTTCTGTGGGGATATTTTCACTCACTTTTTTCCATAACTATTTGGATAAACTACTGAAAAGAATAAACTACACTGCCATGGTTGTTGGCTGCCAGCTACTTTTATGTGAAGAGGTGGAAGCTTTTACCATCGATGCTGGGTTGACTTATAAAACATCCAGCTTTGCATAGTTCCAAATGGTTCTAAACGGTGTTCCAGTGGGGCAAATTCATGTGGCCAGCTTTAAAAAAAAGTTGTAAATACACTTCATTACATCTGGAAGTTACTTTTACTTGGCGTCAAGCTGGTGCTATTTTAGAGATAAATTATGTTGGTCTTAAAGAAAAAAAGAGCACCAGATCTGTCAGTAGGATGTTTCCTTATGCCAGAGGATCTGCCACTCATCTCAAGAAGTGACCTCAGTTTGCAGTCAAAACGCATTTCTGTGGCCTGCTGGCGTGTGCCGGGGTATTTCAGCACCTCAAAGAATTACCATTAACACCAGAATCCAGGAAGGAAATGATATATGTTTTTCCCTTTTCTTGTTTACCCTGGGATGCAAGTACTATGCAATTTATTCATTTTTGACCTGGCTAAAAATAGTGAGAGGAAATGAAACTGAACTGGTAATGAAGAAAAGCAAGATTATGCTTCTAAACATTAAATCGATGAGGGAAAGCAAATGGTAGGCCAGGAAACAATGGCAAGATAATCCCAAACTTTGGGGGTGTGGACCTGGAAACAGATTTGAACAGGCTTGGAAGTAATTTGTCTTGGATCCAGGCATATTGACGTTGGAATTGACCTAAGGAAAAACTGTGTTTAATAGCTTTGCATGAGATGGCCATTCTGTCCCAGTGGGCGGATAATTTGCAACTTCTCTCTTGTTCACATTTGTTGGCCCCATCAGAACCTGCCTGAGTCATCATCGCCTCAAGGAGCATCTCTCAGGCCTCTGAATGGGGGAGGGGGGCTTCTTACTATAACCTGCAGAAGGACCAGACAGACAACCGGAGGTTGCCGTTGACCTCTGCTGGTCTTTATTCTGGCAGCATAAAGATGTTATTCAAAGTAGACTCAACAAAACGGCTGGTAGAATAATTACATGGGAGTTTATATACTTTCTACTTCAATTTCCCCTTCCTTACATTGTGGAATGATGATTGTAATAGAGTACCTTAAGATTCATAAAGAATTTGATTGATTAGTTCAACTTTTTATAAGTAGAGGCAGTTTTATGAAGTATAAAGTACATAGTGTTTGGAGCCAGAGGGGTTGAAGTTCAAGTTCTGTTTTTTTTTGTCACTTGCCATCCATGTGTCTCCAGGCACGTAATAAATCCTCTCAGAGCCATGGTGTCCTTGGCTGAGAAGTGTAGGTCTTCTAAGCACGAGGGTTTTTTGTAAGGACTAACTTGAACAACAGATACGTAAAAGTGGCTGCTGCACAGAAGACATCCAATAAATCCTGGTTATTTCTTCCTGTTTCCCCCTTCACTCCCTTTGAAGACTGCAGTGAATTTAGAGAGTTCTATTAATACATAATTGCTGTGGTCTTCAGGACAAAAGGAGAGAAGGAATTCCTTTGAAATTTTTGAGTTATAAAATGTTTTGTGTCAATATTTTGTCAATCACAGCGAGATGGTCTCCTTTTATAGATATATTTGTACCCCTAAATGCAGAAATAATATAATCAATACCATCACACCTTCTCTTCAACCTAAACTACCCAGATAACAGGCAGAAATGAGTTATTATGCTTAAATCACTTACCTTTCTTGGCCAAGATATCAGTGCAGTAATTATAGAAATTTTTCCTGGAAGATACCAAAAATCATATCTAAAATTTGACAAGTTGCCTTGAAAGCATAATCCGATAGTCCTGAAAAGTCTAGTTGGGTTATTAAAGGCCAACCTGTCTGTAAAGGGGACTTTGTGAACATTGGCATATTATTTACAAACTTCATATGCAGATTAAGAAATCTGATTAGTATAGATTTATCTCTTGAGTGGATGAGAGAGGATGGGAGGTCAGAAGGAAGTAGAGAAGCACAGGGAACTCACATAGATGCTGTTGGCCTAGTTGGGAAAACCACCTTGCTTCTAGAATATTCCAGAGGCAAGATTGAGGGCATGGAGAGAATGAAGAGTGAGGAACACAGGAGTTCACATGTGAAGGGATTTTTGCCATTATTGTGAGCACTGACCCCACTCTCCTAGCTGCCCTTCCCTCTGAGAAGGCCTTTCCCTCAGCACCCAGAGCAGGCAGACTGGGCACGAGGCTGTGGGGGTAGGGGGGGTCAGAGGCAGGGAGGTGAGAGAGAGCACCATGGGGACACAGAGGGAACTGGCTGCTCCTGAGCCAGGGATGGTGTGTGGATTGCCCTTTTCTCAGCCGAGAGGAGAAAGTCTGGGTTCCATTTCAGCGTCCAGGAGATTTTCCTTCTGCCAGACTCTGGCGTGGCTGCTCATGGGGAATGAAAGGCCGGCTTGGTGCTGGAGCTGGGGGAGTAGCTGGGGGTGTGTGTGTGGTGGATGACAGCCTCCCTTCTTCTTCCCTAGATGAATTCTCAGGCTTGGAGACTGACACGGCGACACCCACGGAAGAGGCGTACGTGGTATATGATGAAGGTATGACAATTACTTGGGCACTTTCCTGCTCAAATGATCCTGTTTTAATCACTAAGTGGATGACTTTGATGGTGGTTCCCTTCAGAACTGTGAAGGGCTTAGGGAAGGGCAGGTGCACCCCTCCCTCCAAGTCACCCCCAGATGCACACGTGACTGAAGAGAAAGAGCAAATGCAGCCTCCCGGGAAGTCCCTGGCCTCCTGTTCTCTCCCTCCCAACCTCTTCGGCTCAGCTGATTCTGGAGCTGCCCGTCTGGGCCCCTTTACCTTTGTTGGTGAAACTGCTGGGTTTAAACAATGTCTGGCTTCCTTCTCTTCTCTTTCTCCTCCTTCCTTTTCTCTCCTTTTCTAATTACATAAAAAATGTGATGGTGTGAATGTGTGTATTTCTTATCGTAGAGTCTTTGTAAGGGCAGATTTCTAAGATTAAGAATACAAAGTGCTGGGCGGCACTTGTGGCTCAAAGGAGTAGGGCGCCGGCCCCATATGTCATAGGTGGTGGATTCAAACCCAGCCCTGGCCAAAAACTGAAAAAAAAAAGAATACAAAATGCCATGGGCAGCATGGAATAGACACTAAATAAATGGTAAGTAATGTTACTATCCTTAGGACCCTGTGGTCCTCGTGTGCTTTATAAGTCACCTCTGCAGTTGATGAAGTTCACGTAGGAACCTTGTCCCCACCTGGTGCCGGCCTTTGACTCCGGGACTCAGGATTCTCACACGTGTGCTCTCCCTTTTCTGCTATTATTTGTAGCCTAAATGTCTTAAATCCCAGCGGTGTGAATAATATCACCTTTGCTGCCTTATTTACTGATAATAAAGCTTGGTGCAGTGGTTTAATCCCAAGTGAGTTTTAATAGCAGCAAGTGTCTTAAACACAGCAGGTGTCTGGATGGGCATGGGGGTGCAGACCTGTAATCCTAGCAGTCTGGGACACCGAGGAGAGGATCAACTGAGGTCAGGAGTTTGAGAGCTGCCCAAGCACAAGCGAGACCCCATGTCTACTAAAAGGAGAAAAATTAGCCAGATGTTTAGATGGACACTTATAGTTCCAGCTACTTGGGAGGCTGAGACATGAGGATCTCTTAAGCCCAGGAGTCTGAGGTTGCTGTGAGCTGGGCTGACACCATGGGGCTCTAGCTTGGGCAACAGAGTGAGACTCTATCTCAAAAAAACCCCTCACGCCAAAACCCAATAGATGTCAGAAAACAAAGGAAGTTTTCTTAGCACCTTTGAAAATACCATACTAACCATCTTTCTTACTGTCTTTGAACAGTTTGAAGAGGGGGCAGGGTTTTCTTTTCTTCTACAAATGTCAAAGGGATTAGTTCTTTTAGCAGGATTAATCCCACCTCCTTCCTCAAGAAAAAAAATGCATACACAGAAGATGCCTTTTAAGAAGAAAATTCAAGTTCCTTTTCTAATGTGATCTGCCATTGCTCTAAATGGGAAAATGACGCAGGTAGGGAATGGCCTTGGACCTGTACCATGAGCTAAACTGGATGGATTTTAAGTTCTCTCCAGCTCTGGTCATAAAACTTCATTTTTCTGGTCACATATGTTTCTTTTCCTCCTTTTCTGTTTTATCTGCAGCCACTTTTCGGTGAGCACTGAAATGGAAAGAAATAGTACTTTAGTAGAAACAGACTGTGTTTAGGCATAGCTTTTGTGTCAGGCTGTTGGTGTATGTTTCTGCCCGCAGTTGAATCTTAAGGAGGCATCACTGTCTACCAGGGCCCAATTACAGAGCCTTCCTATCATTTCAGATTATGAATTTGAGACCTCGAGGCCCCCAGCCACCACGAAGCCTTCGACCACTGCTGTCACACCAAAGGTCATCCCAGAAGAGGGCACCATCAGTTCCTTTCCTGAAGAAGAATTTGATCTGGCTGGAAAGAAACGATTTATTGGTAAATGTAACCTCCTTAATCAGAGAAACATGAGTTTTTAACTTTTGCTCTTTGAAGAAGAGCATAACTAATCTCTTGGCCCGGCCAAGGCAGTGTATTTTGAGTTTTCCCAGAGTGAAATTTCCATTTGGGGTAAGTTAGTGAGTGAGTCCTGTTGGATGCATATGAATTTGTGGTCTGCAAAAGTCAGAGGAGGGGAGGATGGAGGAGGACATTTGGTGTCCAACAGAGGACAGTTTAGAGAGGTTGTCTCATGTAGACTCAAGAGTAAGAAACTGTTTGAAGTCATCAGCACCAAGGGACGTGAGTATTTTTACTGCTGCTAGCTTTCCTAAGAGGGACTTAGGATTCTCACACGAGATAAGGCTAGGCCTTATCTGCATATTGTCTGCTAAATTCTTCTCAAAGCTCAGTAGCTTACTAAATTGAGCCACTAACAGTATCTCAGAGTCAGAGCTTTTCTTATTTTGTTATTACCTATAATTTTTGTTAGCCTTAAGGATTGGGGGTTTAGAGATTCATTTTATTCTTCTTTCTCAGTGATCAAAACAATTTCAATAAAAATTTCTGTGTTCCCACTCCCTGACGGAACTTCATTAATGAGACAGTTGGATTAATATGTTACTAAGTGGAGACAAGCAACAGCTTAAACTAATACCACACTCTTCTGTTTCCAAAACAAATATTCTGCCATGAGCAGAGAACAGCTCTTGCCAGCCAAGATGTAGTGATGGAGTGTCTAAACCACATGGACCTGAAGAACGAGAATATTAATTTGAGGTAGCATTCCTCAGACAAATGCTCCCGCTGGCCGTGCAGCTGCCTGGCTGCCTCTGCCGAACGCTCTGACTCTTCTCTCCACGGTTCCATGGCGGGGTTGAAATGCTTTTAGGGCCGTAATTAACTATTCTACAAACTCTCCTGAACAGTGAAAGGCTTTCATTGTCTGGGTTTTCCTGTGTCTGTCACTCTATCAGGCATAACCGCCTACTCCCCCACACTTTCTGATAAGATCCATTGGCAAGTCCTAACAGCCTAATTTCATACCAATTATTGGATAATAAAAAAATCTAAAAATTCCATTCAGTCCTCCCAGTCAACTGAGAATGAGAGCCTAGCACCCAAAGATGCAGTGGGATTGGTAGAAATTACTAGACGCTGCTACTTGAGAGCCTGGCGTGTCTGAAGCCCCAGCCTCGTTTCCTTGGCATTTCTGACCTCTTCAGAGTGAGACATGAGAATGAGTGCCGAGGGCTAGAGCTAAAAGGTTAGAGGTAGAAGGTCTCCCATTTGATCCACACTTAGGGGACATGCCCAGCATTGGTAGGCAGGAACATGGGAACATTGACAGAGTTCCTGGGTCTCGTATCCTCTGAAACAATGTGTGTAGAAATGGCTTCCACCTGCACACAAATGTGAGTAGCTTTATCATGCTGAGAAGCCATGTTGGAGAAGGCTGTCCAGGCTTGGCCTTAGGCACTCCCCAGATGGCTGTGGAGACCGTGAAACTCTGAAGAAGTCTGCTGCTCAGGGCTGAGGTTAGAGGCTGTATGTTTTGATCAGTATATATATTTCTCCAGGCCCAGGATTGTCAAGGGAGTGACCTGTGTTAAGACAGTGCTAGTTAAGTGTAGGGTGGGCCTGACTCACACTTTGGCAGAGTGGTGCTGGCTTATAGTACACTGAGGTATGGTTTGGGGATCTTCCAAAATCACTTTGAGAACATAGTCATCAAGGTTGATGGTCACTAGGATCTTTCAAAACTACCAGACTGAAAGATATAAGCACATAAGCCCATTAAGGAGAGCTAGGGGTGTGCTTTTGAGCTTGGCATTGGGGCTGGTGGCTCTGGGCTCTCTGTCTGGTGGGGCGAGACTGATGGTGGGGCTCACTCCAGGGAGCAGATGCTGTTTTCTGTCTGCAGAGGCCTGCACTGGCCTTCCACAGTGCGATTGGCATCTCTGTTCTTTTCCAGCTCCTTATGTGACGTACCTAAATAAAGACCCATCAGCCCCGTGCTCTCTGACCGATGCTCTGGATCACTTCCAAGTGGACAGCCTGGATGAAATCATCCCAAATGACCTGAGGAAGAGTGACCTGCCTCCTCAAAATGCTCCCCGCAACATCACTGTGGTCGCTGTGGAAGGCTGCCACTCATTTGTCATTGTGGACTGGGACAAAGCCACCCCAGGAGACGTGGTAACAGGTGTGTCCTAGGCAGATGGTTAGAGTTCCCATGACCTGTAGGTGGGAAATACAGACCATAAGGGATGGACAGATGGATAGATGGATCCATGCAGGGATGGATGGGTAGGTGGGTTGGACAGAGGAGTCCAGCTGTCTTCTTTTAATAGGATGAAATGTAGGCAATAACAGAGGCCTCATGGGGTAGTGTATAGAGCACCGGGTGAAAGTCGGGGGTCCTCAATCCCAGTCCTAGATTGATGTGCAGGACCTTAAGGTGGTTACTTCATCTTCCTGGGCCTTGGTTTCTCTGCATGCAAAATATCATTCTGTCTCTAGCATTCTATAATCCTGCAAATGGCCAGGGAGTCCAGGCAGCAACTTGTAGATCAGACCCTGTGATGGCAGAGCTCCTACCGTGCCATGGGGCTGCCCCACATCAGAGCAGCCCTAGGATGGTTCCCTCACCTCTTGCCTCGCCTGCTGTGGGCTTCCAGACCAGTCTGGGTTTTTTTCAATTTCTTCTGTGGAAACTGAATGTGATGGAAAAATTCCCAAGGATCTCGAGCCTGCTAGGTCTTGGCCTTTGAGATGTTCATGAGTTCATGTGATTCTGCCAAGGATATATTTGAAGATAAATCTTGAAATAAGGTGCTACAGAAAAAGAATTGACATTTTCTTTGAATAATGTCTTCCTTTGCACGTGATTCCTTCTGGGCCTGTGTGCCGTATAGGAGGAAGGCATCTGCATATGGAACGGTGTTATGTGTCTCGGGCTGGGGACGGTAGCATCAAAGGCGAGAGTTTGACATTAGCTATTATGTTATTGTAGTTGATATGATTCAAAATTGCTTGTGCTTTTGTTTTATTTCTTAAAATGAGAAAAAAGTATCCAAGAATATCCAAAGAATAACTTTTTCTGTGGAATTTGGATAACAGCCCAAAAGCCAGGGTAAGGGGCATAGGAAAGAAAGCCCTGGGTATTGTGCCAGGTGAGGTGGAAAGGCCTCGGTATGAGGAGGGTGTAGGATTATCAGGTTTGAGTCTTTGGTATAATGAAAAAGCTGATCACTCCAGGGTGTGAGCTCCATGCGCTGCTGAGACCAGTTCCTGTGAAGTCCAGTATGTTTCTAATAGAACACAAATAAATCAGTGGAAGGAGCAAAGCCTGTCATTAAAACAGCCAGAAATCCTTCTATTTATGGAATGTGTCTTTATGAATGGCAATTTTAAAAAACAAGCAAGTAAGCTTTCAGAAAAAATAATTGAAAATCTTATTTTAAGCTCTTTCACTTTTGATCTCTTGCATAACAGATATTACTTAACATAAATATAATCATTGCACCCTGAGCCAAGGGGCTTTGAAGAAACACTGGCTGAAGAAGGAGAGCTTTGGCCACATTAAACTTGCCTCCAGGGCTCTTGCAGTGAAATAAAAGCCTTCACAGAACTCCTAACACATGTCTCCCAGGCATAATTCAGACTCCATTCCTATACAGCTCAGCCTTCTGCAACACTTGTGGTCTTGCTCCTTGGGCCATTGGTCGTGTGTTCCAAGCTGTCCAAAGCTTCCTAAAGTGTCCTCTCATTCTTCACCCCCCCATACCTGATCTGTAATGAAACCTCATGGCCCTAACCGTGAGTGCTTGTGACTCCAGCATACATAGCGCTGATGAGGTCCTTGTAGATTTTGAGCACTCCCAATATAAAACTGCCAGCTCCTGTCGAGCTGATCATGGCAGGACGTTTCACACATGACACCGGCTCACCCCCCACCCCAACATTTAATGGCAGGGTTTCTCAAGGCTTGGTCCTAGGTCTTCTTTTCTTCTTGCTCTGTCTCCTCTCCCCACAGAGCCTCATCCATGCACATGGTTTTAATTCTTCTTGGAGATGAGTCACTGATGTTTTATCTCAAGACCAGGCCTTCCTCTCCTTTGAGCCTCACAGAGTAAAATCAGATGCAAACAGTAAAATCACTTGATGTCATCCCTGGGATGTCTCCACAGCACCTCAGACTCAGTGTACAAGAACATCAAACTCGTGGTCCTTGTGATCGCCAAGCCTGGCCCTCATCTGGGACTCCTGTCGCAGGGAACGGTCCCACTTTCACACATTTGCACAACCGTGAGGCTTTGGAGTCATCTTCAAATCTCGTTCTTCATCTTACCTCTGCACTCAGTGCATCCATGTTACTGCCCGGTTTCTCGGGACCCCATTCATTTCTCTCTATGGACTCTCCACCCTTACGTGACCATGGTGTCCTGCCCACCCGCACCCCACAGCCTGTCCATTCTCTCCTGCACAGTAGAGACTGAAGATGCACACCTGGCCATGGCACCCTGCAGTGTCTTTCTCTTTCATTTAGAATGAAAAAGCCTAGCATGCCCAAGAGTGTTGCCCAGTGTTCTGTTCTGTGCTGCTTCAGCCTCAGCTCCTGCCTGTCCCAGGCCTGCCACTCCCAGGCCATATGCCCCCGCTTGGCACCTCCCTCCTGAGCCTCTCCCCCAGGGGTTTCCTCTGCCTGAGCTCTTCCCACCTCCTGTTGCACCTTAACTGCTTCCCATCCTTTGGGGATCTCAGCTCCACGTCCTGCACGGAGGCAGCTGTTCCTAGACGCCCTCTGGGAGCACCATGGACGGGCCCTTCAGAGAACTGAGTGAAAGTGCTTACTAGCGTGATGTTTGGCACATACGGGGTGTTTGACACGTGTTTTCTTCCTCTGTGTACACATAAGAGACCTAGTAAAAAGGATGTGCTGAGCTGTGATGTGAACTTCACTTTCCCTCCTGGGGCAGCCACGAAGGCTGGGAAGGTGTCAGGGCTTCAGGCCACCTGCTGAGGTCTGATATCAGCAGGGGAGACAGAGCAGGTTGGATGACAGATTGAAGTCACCATCATTACACAGCGAGGGCCAGGGCAGGCACAGGGACTCAACAAGGAGAAGTGAAAGGACCGGCTTTGCCAGATGGGCCTGGGGTCACTGGGAGTCTGGGGTCTTCCAGCTACGCATGCGTGTAAAGCACTCACTGTCAGGACGATGGTGCATTGTCTCTACCAGGAAATGCTTAAATATGTGTGGGGGAACCACTCTTTCTCTTTCTCTTTCTCTTTCTCTTTCTCCTGCTGCTTTCTTGTCTGTACAGTCAGGAAGATCAGATGTGCTCTGGTTCTGAGGAGATGGGGAGCAGGAAATGGGGGTTGTACAGGGAAGGAAGGGAAATAGTGAGGTAGCAGGTCCTCAGGAAGTGCCTTGATTCGTTGTCCCCACTGGGTCCACCCGAAGGTGCCAGTGTCATGTTCCATCCTGTCCCGAGGAGCTTGCTGTCCCTGAATTCCTCCCCCCGAATCTTGTCCCGGCTTTGCCCCCCTCCGTCTCCTCACTGAGCTGCACCTGCTGTGCGATGTGGCTGCTCAGTGCTCACCGGGGCCTCCCCTGTTTCATGTTCAGGCTACTTGGTTTACAGTGCATCCTACGAAGACTTCATCAGAAACAAGTGGTCCACTCAAGCTTCATCAGTGACTCATTTGCCCATTGAGAACCTGAAGCCAAACACGAGGTATGATGTGTTAGTCTTTTATTAGTATTATAGGAACAAAAGCATGAGACCCGTGTGCGTGGTCACAGACAGCCTTTGATTGGAAACAAAGGAGTTAAGCAGAGGTTTTTATGGTTTCTTTGAATTCTCTGTTTAGCTCCTACAGAATGTCAATGAATGTTTACCATATGTCGTGTCATTTTCTTAGGAGAAAGTACTGTATGGATTGTAATTGTTAAGTTATTGGGTTTATATTTTATTCCCAATTTTCCTAAACACTATCTACCATTGGGGGAAAGAAAATTGTTGGGCGTTGAAAGATAACTGGTCTACTTTTAGTCGCCAATGTGTTGGCATTAGGCAAGGCAACCTTCATGTGTGACTTTAATGGAGCAGCAGTTATAACATGTTAGTTAACTAGTACTCAAACCCTCTGAGGTAGACATTCAGGCCATTCAAGATGGATGCTTTGTACACATTAGCAAAGGTCACAGGCCTGCCTTCATGAACAGGAGTGGCTGGAAGCCTGCAATATAGGCAGCACTGGTTTGAGGGGTGCAAAGAGAGTGGTAGCCACACTCTTTCATATGCTCTGGTTTAGGTGGTCATGGCCATTAGAGAACATCGGTGAAGTACCAAGCACATGATGGTCAGGCTGGTAGACTGCCTCTCTGAAAAAAAAAATTCCCTGATTGATAGCGTTTTCTGATTTCTGTGGCATAAATATTCCCACTACGGCCGATTTTGAGCTGCCACGGGCTCACAGTGCCCCTGTGTGTACGCATGGCCCTCACAGCCTGTACAGAGGCTCCTGCATGCACTACCATGCTGAGTCACCATGTTTCCTGAGCAAGGAGGGCCAAGGGACAGTAGCACCTGGGGCCTCTCGTTTCCTACTTGGGCAGAGGGCACAGAGAAGGCTGGAACAACACACGCCCATGAAGTGGAAGTGCGGTAGAGGGGGGGAATCGGGACCATGGCCATGGGCACGGGGGATGCGAGAGCTGAGGATTTTCCTCAGGACATCTTAATGTGTGATGGGGTCACTTGAACTGAGCTTTCATAAACGAGTACACATTTCAGGATTTGGCAAACAAGAAGCAAGTAGAAAAACAGGAAACTGAGAAGGCACTATTTCTTAATATTTCCCTAAAAGCAATGGAAAATTGATTAGAGAAAACAAAACCAACAAAATTAGAGAAATGGGGTTGATATCCATGAGTTTTATTGTGTGCTGAGTGACAAGGCTTCTCTAGCACAGCCATAGTGGCCAACGGCCAAAGGAGGCCTTGGAGGTGTGGCCCCAGAGCTACTCGAAGCTGAGTGATAGCTCCTGACCCCCCAGCCTCCTAACTCCCCAGCCTCCTGACCCTCCCTGTAGCCTCCTGATCCCCCAGCCTCCTGACCCCCCACCCTCCTGAACCCTCAGCCTCCTGACCCCCAGCCTCCTGACCCCTCCATTCCAGTGCTGTTGCCACAGCCTTTGCCACTATGCGGATGTAGCATTTGAGTTAGGATGGGAGGTGGTTATGTGGGATGATGGCCTGTTCTTTCTTTCTAAAGTATCAGTAAGTATCCACCCTTCGTTCAGTCAGTGTGCGCTGTGTGTGTCCTAAGCACCAGGCTGGGGTGGGGTGGGTGGAGTGCACTTAGCCCTGTCCTGGAGGGGCTCAGGGCCTGGTAGAGGCTACAGGTTCTTTTTATAAACTCCCACCGGTCTGTGTGGTGAGGGAGGGCACGTGAGCTTTGAGTATGTGCTGGGGGGGGGGTTGGTTTTCTTCTGAACCTGCGGGTAGAGCAAGGGGCTGGTTCCTCAGGGGAAGGGAGATAGGAAGAAGCAGGTGACCTGGGGAACAGGTGGGTGCGGTGGGGTCAAATAGCCACAGGTAGAGGGGACGCCTCAGAGAAGGGCATGTTCTGGGAGGCGAAGGAGGCAGTTTAGAGTGAGGGGTGAGGGCTGAGAGGGGAAGCCGGACACACCAGTGCCAGAGTCCCTGGTCATGTCACAGCCTCCATTCCACAGCCTCTGCCCATGAGGCCCGCAGTGCACGGAGTCCAGCGGAGAGGGCCACTGGCTGCCGACACGTGTCACTCCTCCCACAAATATTTCCTCAAACCCTCTGCACGGCTGCTCAGTGTGACTATGATGTGAGGATGCTGATTTTCTTCCTGAGTCACCGGGTTCACAGTGGCCTGTACCTCACCTCTCACAGCCCTGGGAACGGCTTCAGCGCCGGCGAGGAGGCAGGAAGCCAGCCTGCCCCAGAGAGGAGCGAGGCTGGAGGAGAGCTTTGCTGTTCACAGCTGATCCTGCTTGTGACTTTAAGTAGGCACTATCTACCTTATTCAGCAGACTGAGCCCCAAATCACTCTCGGGAGTCTGCATATTTTAAATTATACTCAGAGCACCCAGGTTTGTCACTACTGAGGCTTTTCAAAGGAAGGTGCCCAAAGCTTCCTCAGGACGGCCAGGCGCAGGACATGGGTTGCTTTTGTTACCTGAGACCATTCAGAGTATGAAATGACATACCTTAGTCTACAAAAAAGCTTTTGACAATGGAGATTTTAGTCTTTTCATTTCAACAATTTCATGTTGTTTCTCAGCTCAACATATTTAAATGGCTTTGACACATTAGGTGAATTTCAAATGCAGATCTATCTCTGGCATCAGCACATGTGAGTTTCTGGGGGACTGGAATCACTGTCTCAATAGGGAAGACAGATGTGGAGAATATTTAGGCCTCAGTGGTAAAACAAAACCAACACAAACAAAGGCCTCTGCATGGCCTCTGCCACCTGGTCAGTCGTCACTTTGCCACCTGTAGAACTGCACAGTGGTGCTTCCCTCTGCAGACCTGGGGACTGTTGTGTTCTCAACAATGGTTTGAGAACCCTTCCTTCCTTATGTTTCGATTTCCTTTTTTAAAGAAGTATCTGTAAAGTTTGACCAGGCTCAATGGTGTATGCCAAACCCACTGCTTGAACTGCCTGGGGAGTTTTGCCTTAAATAACTCCACAACCTCTGAATGAAACTATGCATAGCTGGGCGAATGTGAACTGCTGAGTGAATTGGGGTTTGGAAACTCAGATGTTCTTAATTGTGCATATCTTTTCTTTTTTAAATTGAAATTTTTAAAAGAATACTTTTTTTTTTTTTTTGAAGACAGAGTCCCTTGCCCAGGCTGGAGTGCCGTGGGATCAGCCTATCTCACAGAAACCTCAAACTCCTGGGTTCAGGCAATTCCTTCGGCCTCAGCCTTCAGTGTATCTGGCACTACAGGTGCCTACCACAATGCCTGGATAATTTTTTTCTATTTTTAGTGGAGATGGGATCTTGCTCTTCCTCAGGCTGGTCTCGAACTCCTGACCTCAAGCAATCTTTCCACCTTAGCTTTCCAGAGTGCTAGGATTATAGGCGTGAGCCACCGAGGCCAGCCCCAAAAGAATACTTTTAAATGAAATGTGAATGATGTAAGAAGACTTATTTTACCCAATGGCTTTTCTTTGCTATCTGTTTAATTAGATCCAAGTGAAATCTATGTACTGTGAGGCCAGAGACCACCTTGGCCAACTCAGGAGGTCAGAAAGCTTGGGGCCAGAGCCCTTTGTACAAGGGGTATAACCCTTTGCTCTTTAAATATAAATAACTCATCTTTTAAAAATTTAGTGTATTTTAATTAGTGCATATGATCTGTGTGGCTGACTTAAATAAACAATTTAGTAACATTCGTGGCATGCTTGCTGGCCCAAAGCCAGAGGAAAAGGCTCTGTATTAACTCTCTAAAATGATAGAGCCACCACTCCCAGCATTCTACATGCCCCTTCATCTGTAAGTAGCTACATACGAAGACAGCACATAAAACATCTGGAATCCCAGAGGAGGAGAACCCAAGGAGTAAGGATAGATGCAGCGGGTCACGACGTGGTGTCAGCCTCTAGTATTTTTTGTCTCTTTGTCTTTGAGCTACACGAGTGCAAAGTGAGACGCTTGGAGACTCCTGCTCCCTCTGGCTGACTCAATGTGCTTTCTAGCCCATTCTTCATTCTAAGACAGAGTTTAGCTCTACAGCACAGCCCCTCTCTCCAGGCCTTTTCCCATTCCCTGTTCTGGACTTGCTTTTCTTTCTTGGAGGCACAGAAGCTCTTAACTCTGTGGCTTTTGAGGCAGTCCATCCCTAGCTGCAGAGCCAACTGCAGCACTTCTCGTGCACCCAGGACGTTGTTGTTAGTTCCATTGCAGAGGCCAACCTCTGGCCCGGTTCACCCTCTCTCTGACAACCAGGGGTTGCATCTCTACTGGATCAAACATTCTGCTCTTCTGCGTGGACTCCAGGGATAAGAACTAGGTTACAATTTGAATTCTGCTCTGTAGTGTTTTGCTGCTTCAGCCTCTCCTGGGTTATGGTGCTCCAGCTGGGACCCAAATCTTCAGCTGAAATAAGAACAGGATTAGCGGGAGCATGTCATCAGGGATGAGCTAAGGAAAGCCTGCCCCACACAGTGACAGTCCTGATGCTCTAAGAATGCAATCTATGTGTCTGCCATGCTCCTTCTGTTCTCATTAGCCACACATCTATGCTGGGTTTTTTTTTTTTTTTTGAGACAGAGCCTCAAGCTGTCGCCCTGGGTAAAGTGCTGTGGCATCACAGCTCACAGCAACCTCTACCTCCTGGGCTTAAGCGATTCTCCGACCTCTGCCTCCCAAGAAGCTGGGACTACAGGCACCTGCCACAATGCCTGGCTTTTTTTTTTTTTTTGGTTGCAGCTGTCATTGTTGTTTGGTGGGCCCGGGCTGGATTCGAACCCACCAGCTCAAGTGTTTGTGGCTGGCGCCTTAGCCACTTGAGCCACAGGCACCGAGCCACATCTATGCTGTTTTAATGGTATCATTTAGAAATGTTATTCAAAAATAACAGAGTTTGTAAATACCCAAAGAACCACTTGTGGTACATGCTTTTGTAAAAATTAAGACTCAAAACCTTCCAGTAGTTTGGGAATGTGTTTCATTACACCTGAATCAAATACATTTCTCTTTCAAAAGATATTTTCATCTAATTTCAGGTATTATTTCAAAGTTCAAGCCAAAAATCCTCATGGTTACGGACCTGTGAGCCCTTCAGTCTCATTTGTTACAGAATCAGGTATGGGTGATGTCACATTATTGGTTTGTTTTTTCTTTAAAATGAAATTTAAAAATCGAGAATAATGACTGCCATAAGTAAACATTCAAGAGGTAAAATCCTTACTTTTCTATTTAATAAGTTCATATTGGATATCTCTTTCCAAAATAAACATTGTTTTCTTTGTGCTAGATTGGAACTTGGATAGCAACTGAAGAACAAAAGTCAAATTCCAATGGAAGGAAAAAATCTAGTTTTTAACCGTGTAGGAAAGATAAATTCGACTCTCTCTGTGCAAAATTTAGTTGCAGAGTTAAAAAAATAATTTTTTTAATTGCAAACAGCTGATGAACTTATAGTCCTGTGACCTGAGAGGCAGACGCTTCTTTAGTGAGCCAGGTCTATAAGATACCCCTTTAATAGGAGGCAGCAATGTCTCCTCTTTTCCTCATTAGAATTTTCTCCTGTTTCTCCTAATTAAAACATCATTCGGTCGTAAGCAATATCACTCAGAGCGCGTCCTTGTATTTTGGGGTGTTGGTGAGCATGTTCCTGTGGCCCATGGTCTGAGGCAGAACTGGCCCACTGGGACAATTTCGGGGTTAGTGACTTTTCTTTATAGGAAGCTAACCTGGGTTCACTCAGCTGAGCCAGCTTTGCACCCAGATGGCTCTACTTCCATTTGGCTAGGTTATTATACTTCCTGCATGCAGCCTGAACCTAGCAAATGTGTCATTGGAAGATATTTTTAAGTATAATGATTTAAAATTACTGAATCAAAATATGTAGGGGGAAAAAACTTTTCCTGACAATATGCAAAAGACCTCATGAGGCAAAGGACCTCGAAAGTGTTTCTACCTGTTTTATTTAAAGGTATATGTTTCTTGTTAGTAATTAGGAAAGACCAAGAGAAAACCATTATCGGTGGCTAATTTGCTGCGTTACGGAACGTGTCTGCGTTTCCAGCTGCCCTTCCTAAGCACAAAGTGGGCCTTTGTCAGCTCTTAGAATTATCATGATAAAGGTCTGTAGAAAAATAAATTCAAATCTATAAAGGTCTGAAGTCTGAGAGTAGAGAGTAACATCTGTGTGATTTCTGGGAGCGCAGTGTAAGCTTTTAGAAAGACAGCTGTCTTCTGCCTTTTCCTCCAAGAAAAACTCCCAGCTCAGCCTTTCTGGTCTCCAAGGGGAAGGTAAAGAATGCTCAAGGCCTCACTTAGGATCTGAATGAGAAACTCTGGGGAAGCACAGGAAGCTCCCTCTCAGTGAGCTCCCGGGAGACGGTCATACTCATGGACGTTGGACAATTTTTGCTGCGGTCATCTTTACTTTGTTGAATCAGATTATTCAAGTTCCTCCTTCATTTTGTGCCACCTTGCTGAATGCAGGGACGTGAGCAACAGGAATTATCAATAGCCGAATGGTGGGATTTGCCAAACATAATCTAAAAATCAACCTGTGAAGTGAATGAAGGTGTGTGGCCCAGGCTGTGCCCGAGCTTGGGTTTCTGTTCTGCTGTTGTGGTGGTTTTACGTTGTTCCCCTCCACCCGGGCTAGAGCATTTTGGATTTTCCATCAGACTGTTGACCTTGTGAAGGTCAGGGCAGGAGGGCAAAGCATTCTACACGTAGGAGCTGTGGTGTGTCCTTTCGTTTTGTGGATAGTGGATGATGTCAAAATGAATGGTTGGACCAAGGGGCAGCGTGGGGAGCCCTGTGGCTGACGGAAGGTTCCGTATGCTGATTGCAATGGAGTTCCATGCAGCCACACTGGTGCGGAAATTCACAGGATACATGCAATTCACTGTATTGTTTTTTCAAAAATAAAAAAAAAGAATGGCCTAGATTTACCTAGTCCATGACATTTTATAAAAATGAATCTTTTCTTTTTAAAGCAGAATTCCTTTAAAAATTAGTTTCATATTCTCATAAATGGGCATTGTTTGGACTTAGGCATAGACATGTTTTAAGAAGAGCTTTGTTGAGATGTAAATGGCATACAACAAACTATACACGCTTAAGATGGGTACCTTAGGGAATTTCAAGATGCGTCTTTAACCATGAAGCCATCACCATTGCCCAGATAGAGGGCACATTTGTCACCCCCACAATGTCCTCCTACTACTGTGGATTCCAGCCTCCTCCCCCCATGTGGGACCCCCTTCTCCATCTTGTGCACAGGCAGCCACACCTTTGCTTTCTGGCACGTAGCTTGCATTTTCTAGATTTTTATGTGAGTGGAATCATACAGCAATAAATTCCTTTGGCTGGCTCCTTTCTACTTGGTGTTATTTTAACCTCCATCCATATTCTCGTGTGTATCAATAATTCTTTCCCTTTTATCCCCAGGCAGTATTTCATTGTATGGCTGGACCACACTTTGTGTATTTAATCCAGTCACCTGTTGATAAACACTTGAATTGTTTCTACATTTTGGCTATTATGAAGATGCATCCACATTTATGTATAACTATTTGCATGCACATATGTTTTAATTTCTTTTGTATAAATACCTAAAAGTGGAATGGATGGATTATACAATAGGCACATGCTTGCCTTTTTAGGAGAGTATTGAATTATTTTATAGCACCCAGTATCAAAACTGGAACCCACAGCTTCCCAGTAAATAACAAAGAATACAACTAGAACAGAGTATGTCCCAAAAGGAAATGCTTAGGAAGCAAAAACTAAGAGAAAACTCGGGCATCTATCAGACTTTTTTTTCTTTATTCTAGTTTGGTTAGCTCTTTCAATTACAGTAAACATCTCAATAGTCGCATGATTGTGAAATATGATACTAAGTCCATTATTTCTTTTTCATTTTGCAGACAATCCTCTGCTTGTTGTGAGGCCACCTGGTAAGTTTCTCTTTTTGATAATTTTGACAATCTGGTAATCAGGTTGAATACTGACTGCGAGATTGCTATGATTACTCCCTCACAAGTAGAAATGCTGGACCTTTTTTGCATTTTCATAATTTTCTGACAACTTCTATGGTTTCCTTGCACTCTTCATCTTGAGCTATGGAAAAGGGTGACCTGGGAATTTTTTTAATAGGGCCATAGTAATTAATACCTATGAAAAACCATTATAGGACTATAGGGTGGCCAGCATCTGTCAAATAAATACTTTATTTACATAGCCCCTTTGAATATTTTAAATTACTGAAAAGACAGCAAAGTGCATTGCGTGTACAGCAGAGGTCTCTTTGTGTTTCACACAAACTGAGAACGCCCTGCTGCAGAAGTAAGACAAGTTTCCTGAGTGGCGGGGGCAGAGTCCACACCCAGGGCCCTGAGCATAGGGGAGCAGCTCCTAAGGCATCACCTGATTTAAAGGCTTTTGTTAACTCTGATAATCCCTTCTTGAAATGCAAATACCTTAAATATGTTCAGTTGAAGGGACTCCCCACCCAACCCAGCCCTTTATACTTCAGTACTAAGTGACAGAGAAAGAGGGTGGGAAACTTCGCTTAGAAAACCCTGCAAGGAGGGTGGTGTCTGTGGCTCAAGGAGTAGGGCACCGGCCCCATATACCAGGGGTGGAGGGTTTAAGTCTAGCCCCAGCCAAAACTGCAAAAAGAAAGAAAAGAAAAGAAAACCCTGCAAGGAGGGGATGGCCCAGTGCGTAAATCCAGTTTCCTGGTACTTTGTGCAAAAGTAAATACCATGGGACATCATACCTTATCGGGTGTGTTCTGTCTTGTCAAGGTGGTGAGCCCATCTGGATCCCATTTGCTTTCAAACATGACCCTGGCTACACAGACTGCCACGGAAGGCAATATGTGAAGCGGACGTGGTATCGGAAGTTTGTGGGAGTTGTTCTTTGTAATTCACTGAGATATAAGATCTACCTCAGTGACAACCTGAAGGGTGAGTCTTTGAGGAAGGGTGGCTATGGAAGGTATGGAAGATTTTTATCTTATCAAGTGCTAAGCTGACACAGCAGGTGCGTCAGAATGCATTTGGGGCCTGGACCTATTATTGTGGCTCCTCCTGCCTCAACTATAGGCTCTACTTTGGGGGTACTAATTTTTACATTGGCATCAAAAATACATTTTTAAAAATCCCCTATATCTTAGGAATGAGGTCCAAAATTCTGTTGAAAATGTAAAGATCTATTTCCTTTACCATTAATTCAATAATAATAAGTGTAAGCTGGAAGAACAGGAAAAGTCACTGGCTACAGCCACACTTTATAGAGAAGAAGGGTAGACAGTGAAACATATATCAGAAGTACTGTTTTTTCTGTGTCCAAAGAACAAGTAAGAATCAGATTGTTTTCTTCCATAGTAGGGGATTATAGCAAAGAATTCCATGAGTACTTGACCTAGTAACACTTCAAAATTGCATTTCTATCCAGCTGGCTATACAAACGTGGTTTTTATTCTAAAACCTGCACTACTTTTAATTTTTTAGTATATACATTTTTAATGCTTTCCCCTAGCCTACTTATATTTTATCATTGATTGGGTTTTTAATTGTTCAGTTATCTTTCCTTGCTAGAAGAGATCATTCTAGGACTGTGTCAGCAAAGTCTCCCCTCCATCCACCCCGGCAGTCTCTGTGTGCGTGCCGTCCCAGCAACTGCTGTCTGTTTATCCCTCTCTGCTCTTCCCTCTCTCTTCCGCCACCGCTCCTTTTCTCACCTGCTTCAGAATTCCTAGGAGAGGTTGCTCAGCCCTCTGTGGTAACCCCAGGGTTAGGAGACGCCCCCTTGCCCTGCAGTGTCAGCACCATGGACAGCGCCGCACGCCATAGACACACCCTTCAAGTGACACATGAAAATAGGTTCTTCTATTTTTATAGACCTTCCTGTCTTTCATAATTATTTTGTAATTTAATATTTGACTCCTGTGGTTTTCTCTACTCTTTTTTAATTAAGTAGAAAGAACTCTCATCATTTATAGGCTGAAACTGCCAATGTTTAATACGTAGTTTCCACTTAGTGAACATTCATTAAGCATACATGATCTTGCTAAATTCCTACACATTTATGGGATTGGTGACATTATCACCATTTTTTACAACATGTAAAGTATGGCATATACACTTTACTTTTCCAATTTCAGTGATTTCCAAAAGCTTGTGGGAACCCCTAAGCCAGCTGTAGCACTCTTTGGCTAGTCACTGACTCTCTATATTCCTTTATGCAGATACCTTTTACAGCATTGGAGATAGCTGGGGGCGAGGCGAAGACCATTGCCAATTTGTGGATTCTCACCTAGATGGAAGAACAGGGCCTCAGTCCTATGTGGAAGCCCTCCCTACCATTCAAGGTAATACAAGCAAATGCCTGATATGTTACACCGGGGTTGCAAGAGAAGGGTTAATAGAAGGAGAAAATTCACTGTAGCTTAGCCTGGATCTTATCATTTGAAGACAGATGTTGGGAACCTTTTGGATCATAAAAACAAAAATAAAGAATCAACAAAATACTTTCTGTGCTGGGCATAGGAGCACAGCTGTGCTCTCAGGAACATGCTGTATAACTGGGAAGAGAAAATAAATATGTGAAAAGGTAACTAAGAGTGAACACCTCCAAGTGTAGATAATGGCAAGAGTTATGCCATGTGATCGTGCTGTTGTCAGGTAACTGTGTGCATATTATCAGTGATAATAGTCACTCCGTGAATTCAGAGGAGGTGAATCTCTGGAGGCTGTTGAGGAAGATTTTCAGAAGAGGGAGAGTCTGGGCTGAGTCGTAAAGCCTCGCTGGACATGCAAAGATTAGAAGGCCTTCCCCATGGAGACCGGCAGGAACAAAGGGGAATGTATGCAAACCCGCAGTGATACGTTTCAGAGCTGGCTTATCAATTATTTGATTGTGGCATTATTTGGTGAGGACGAGTATGCTAATCTCAAAGGTTACCAACCTGTAATTACATCACCAACTCCTGCAACTCTCTGAACAAATAAATGGAGCCACTGAATAAATTCCAGCACTGAAAAAGTTATGCACTCAGGTCTTAGTGATCAGGCCTTTTCAGGACATGAGATGTTCTGAATAACACATTTTTTAGCCTGGGAAAAAATACTCTAGGCTGATACATGAATTACCCATTTTCAAAGAATAAAAAAATAGTAAAATATACAAAACAGGTAAGTGTTTCAGTCAAGGTTCTCTTATCCAGAGAAACAGAACCCAATAGGCTCTGTCTATGTACACATATCTAACTATTGAGAGATTTATTTTAAAGAATCAGCTGACATAATTTTGGAGACTGGCAAGTCCAAAATCTGCAACATGGGCTATCAGGCTGGAGAAGGCCTGAGGTTGCAGCTCAAGGCCACAGGCCATCTGGGGACAGATTCTCTTCTTTTTTTTGGAGATCAATCCTTTTCCGTTTGGGCCTTCAACAGACTGGGCAAGGCCCACCCAGGTTGGGTGGTCGGCTTTACTCAGTTTGGTGTTTTGAATGTTAATCTCATCTAAGAAATGCTCCATAGAAACATCTGGAGTAATGTTGGATCACGTGTCTAGCCTTGACCGGTTGACACATAACAATTAACCATCATGGCAAGTATACAAAGTGTATCACACTTCTTGATTTTTTTCTGGATCTTTCAGTCCCCCAGGGTTGAAATTGCATGTGTTATCTGTGCCCTCCATTCTGTGCCCTTGTGTTTTTGTGCCCCCCATGTTTCTGTGCCCCGTGTTTCTGTGCCCCGTGTTTCTGTGCCCCTGTGTTTTGTGCCCCCTGTTTCTGTGCCCTCATGTTTTGTGCCCCCCATGTTTCTGTGTCCCCATATTTTTTGCCCCCCATGTTTCTATGTCCCTGTGTTTCTGTGCCCCATGTTTTATGCCCCCCATGTTTCTGTGTCCCTGTGTTTCTGTGCCCCTGTGTTTCTGTGCCTGCAGTCACGGCTCTGCACAGAGGAGCTGCTTATTCAGTGCACCTGCTGGTAGGACGGCAGGCAGCCATTCCTTTGGGAAAAGTAAACAGAGCCAAAAGAGCAAGAGCAGTTGTTGGGTTTTGAGAAAAATTTGAAGGAGGTTGGAGCATCCCTTCTACTTCAAGATAGAAATGATCAGACTTGATAGGAGGATTCTTTTCTTGATACATTGCCCAGAAAGATCTGAAAGTCTACAGCAGATTCTAGGGACCAGCATTGGAGGACTGAGGTCTGGCTGGGCCATTCAGAAGCCCGGAACACCATGAGAAGCGGGTGGGATCTGCTCAGCATTGCTCGCCCCGCTCAGCCTGCCCCACATGAGGGCTCAGTGGTGATTGGCTGCCAGTGTCCTTCGTGGAGAGAGAGAGAGACAGGGATCACTCTTTCCTACCCTCATTACACATGTGTAGGGACTAGATTATCCGACACAGCTTCTTGGGATAAACCTCACAGGCTTAGTGACCCATGTAAAAATGGTTCCATTTATTTGGAAGGCACAGTTCGGCATGGGAACTTACCAGAAGTCTTCTGTCTGAAGAGGTCATGAGGATGAGAATTTTCGCTGTTGGTTCAGGGGCCTCTGATATGTTTTTCTCTCCTCTCTTTCCTGTCACCCTTCCAGGCTACTATCGCCAGTATCGCCAGGAGCCCGTCAGCTTTGGCCACATTGGTTTTGGAACCCCTTACTACTACGTGGGCTGGTACGAGTGTGGGGTCTCCATTCCAGGAAAGTGGTAACCCAGGGCCGTTGTGCTGCATGCTGGCCCTGCCTGGTCCCGTCGCTGACTCCCACAGGGTTGTGAGCAGGAGGCAGATGGTGTCCCCAGCCCTGCTCTTGCTGCTTGCGTGTCAAGAAGGCCACGGGATGGACACTGCACATTCTGGTCACCTTCGGTCTGGAACTCAGTACCACGTCTTGGCCTAGACTACAAACAGGACTCAGTTTTGCTGTTAACTTCACGTCTCCACATTTCTTGTTTGTAGTAAGCACGTCTCGGAGATATCAGAGAGCAGCAGCTGACTCAGTGTGACATCCAGACTTTTTAGCCACAAAGTTCGGCACTTTGGTATTTCCAGAAACAGCATAAGCACACAGTGCTGGCTTTGTGGAATGCTACACGCTTTCTGTTTTTCTCATTTTGGATTCCTTCAGGTCTCTTTGTATGCAGTAGAACAGAATTACTAAGAACAGCACCAAAGAAAATATATCCTATTTGAAGTTTACTCTATGGACTTACTTCTTGACTAAATGTACCAAATCTTATTTGTAAATTCTCAATTTTGATATATATATATGTATATATGCATATACATATCCACGCTTATCTGCAAAAATATTGATTAAAATGGTTAAATTTGTACTTGTTCACTAGATAAATGTGTGTGGGACTTTTTGGGTAGAGGTGCTTTTTATTACACAACGTCATCTGGAAGTGTCTGGGGCATGTGTTGTACACACTGCTGCAGTGGCTGGTGTGCATCTGGCCTGCAGGGGCTGCTGGCTCAGTGCTGGGAGGCTGAGGGGCCACTGGGGTGGTACTAGAAGTGGCCACACTGCTTGTGGCTGCCCTCAGAGCACTTCCCACCTAAGGGACAATGGATGTGTTGCCACTATGGGGCACGTCCAGTGTGTTTCCAGGTGAATTAAGATTTTAGATCCCAAATAATTTGGAAATCCTATTTTTTAATTCTTTTTTTCTTTCCTTCTGATCTCAGTATCTGTTCCTTGAAACAGAAGTATCTGTGTCTCTACAGCACAGAGGAGGTTTATTTAAAGACATTTTATTCTGATTGTTTCTAAAGCCTGGTGTCCTTCCTGTGAGCTGGATGCATCCACGCCCTTCAGCAGCATGAGCAACAAAGGGTCACCTTTTTCCTTAAAGCTGTTGGTGGAAGAGAAGCAGGTGGAGTTGAGTAGGAGGTGTCCACTTTTCTGGGGTCTCATGCTACACCCCTGTGTAAACCATTTAACTACAGAATGAAGCCCAGGCTCAGAGAAGTGATTGTTTTTAGTGCCAGCACTACTTTGGGGTGAAACCTGCTGTGTCTGGTAGTTTGAAGGTGAAATGTACAAGGAGACAGATAACTTTGCAGGGCCTTTGTGATGTCCATTTTCCTCAAATTACACAACCTCCTTTCTATAGTCAACAACAGTGAAGAAGGTGTAGGCATTCTGACAGCCTGGGAAAGTGCTAGAATTGCTGAGGGAGATAGATCACATGTTATCCTCTTTTTAGTTTTCAGAATAGGGCAGGAATCATGAAGTAGCTTTGGGGGGTCTTGCCCATAAGAGGAGGATTCAAGGAGACGCCCCATGTTTCACACTGATCAGTGTTCAGAAGATGCCAAGACAAAGATGAGATCTTTGACTTTCCTAACAGCAATAACTTGCTTCCTTTATCTCCCCACCCACTCCCATTTCTGACTGTTGTCAGCATCCACCACTGTTGGAGAGCAGGCAAAGTTGCTGGAATGAACTGTTACAGGGAGGGCACGGGCAGATCACTCACTCCCTGCAAACATTTGCTCAGGTGTACAAGATTTCTGAGAGTGCACAGCAGAGGAGCCATTTGGTCTGTCCTACAAGCCTGCCATGGTTATGGGCCTCTTTGGAAGAGCTGCTCATACCGATGCAGGCAACCTCTCAATGTAGGCCAGTCACACTTTTCATAAATAAAAGGGCAGGTTCCTGCCCCTCAAAGGAGTTTATGCTTATTGCACAGAAATATGAAGAACTCACTGTCATTCACTCCTGCGATGAACTGTGAGGCCTGCCTGCCATTTTGAGGCTGTATTTGATTATAAAAATTTGAACTTTTATCAAAAATAAGTGTTTGTGATTTTAGATGGAAATTACCACAATCTCCAAGTGACAAAAACTGCCAAAACAAAAACAGTGCCTCTAAGCATAGACAGTATTATCAACATTCCGCCTAACTTAGGTTACGTAATAGTTCGAGTCTACAGTGTTCCCATCAATTTTCTAGAACTGTACATATTCTGGAAGTCACATTCTAGAAAGGCTATTGTCAAGGAGATTCTTTTTTTTTTTTCTTTTTTTTTATTGAACGGTAACTATGTACATTAATGCACTTCTGGGGTACAGTGTGGGGTTTTCACATGCAATCTGAAATACTTCCATCAACTGGTCAACACAGCCTTCATGTCATTTTCTCAGTTATTGCTTTAAAACATTCACATTCTACTCTTAGAAAGATTCACCTGTACCCCTATAAGGTAAACCTCAGAAGTAATCCCTCCAAACTCCCTCCCTCCACCCATTCCCCCCTCCCTTCTCCCTCCCCCCTCCCCATATTCTTAGGCTATTTGGTTATAGCTTTCATATAAAAAGGTTTATGTCAAGGAGATTCTAAGAGGAGGAGTTCAAAATAGCAAAGAGTCTGAAAACCATTTTATATGAATTAAGGATGAATGTGATGGGGCTGTTTACCTGAAAAAGGAAAACTTAGTCTATTTTAAAAACCTCTAAGAGAGTGTGCCAATTCCCGAGGTCAGAAGCAGTTCCAACTAGGGTTTACAGAAAAAGAACATTTCACTCAACATAATAATTTTATAAGAATCCAACTATAATGTGAGCATCATTGGAAAATGGTGAGATGTCCATCTTTGAAAACCTTAAATATAGCTATATGTCTGAATCTGCAACTTGAGGCCCTTAGCCTGTTTTTGTTGTTGTTGTTATTGTTTGTTTGGGGTTTTTTTGTGCAGTTTTTGGCCAGGGCCAAGTTTGAACCCACCACCTCCGGTACATGGGGCCGGCACCCTACTCCTTTGAGCCACAGGCGGCGCCTTTAAGCCTGCTTTTAGGGTCTATCTGCTCAGAATGGTTTCTCCCTAATTGAAAAGTTATAAACAAAGCAAAAAATAAAACCCCAACAGTTTTAGATAGGGACCACATGTGGCTCACAAGGCCTAAAATATTTGGTCCTGTAAGAAAAAATGTTTTGTACCCATAGATTAAGGTTTTCTTGAGGTTTACAGAAGAAAATCCTAATTTAAAAAGCATCACAAACTACTTAATAGATGTTTATTCCCTTTTCTCTTACTTAAATTGTATTTATTTTGTGACCATCTTTCCCCAATGTTTAAAACCTGAGACTTTAGTGGTTGTCCCTGGGTTGCCAAGCTTCCCGTCTGGCCGGCCCTTTGCTGGCGGTGTGGTCTCAGAAAGTGCAGTGCTCTTTAGGAGGCGTCCTGCTTCTTTAATATAACAATTTGCTTAAAATATACTTTCCAGCTTTCACTTTATGAGTTTTGACTTATTTTTCCTCCTCTTTCCTATTCAAGCCACATACCCTGGTGGGTTCCGAAGGGCGGGGAACTTGAGAATGTGAGAAGGAATGCAGCTAGAATGGGTTTGCCTCTCTGTGTGGGAGGGTTCAGAGCTGCTGTGTGTCATCGCACAAGGATTCCAGTGGTAGAATCGGCCTGTGGTGCTGTAACATCGTGTGGCTGTCGATGTCTTATAGTCATCTCCACATGATGTAACTATTTTGTACCTGGAATGAAGAAGTGAGTTTTTAAAGGAAAATACCTTCCCCCTCATCCCCACATCCCAGACCTCAGAGGAGGCTGAGCTCAGGAAACTCATGTGAACACACGGAGCCATGGAGCGCACCAGCGAGTGTGGTGAGGAAGGGAAGGATTTCTGGGCCAGGAGAGGGCTCCTGTCTCTGGACGGGAGCTACCAGGCCCAGGGGTGCTGCTGGCTCGTGGGGGGCTGCTCTTGCCCCCTTCTGTATTTTCCTCTCTCGTTCTTGGTGTGCTTTGCCATGCTCTCCTCTCTAAGACTGGCTGTCCTTGGACATACATGGCCCAAATGGCAAGTAGGCCCAATCTACACTCAGGGCTGCCTCATACGGCTGTGTTGTGTCTGGCTGTCACCACTGTACATGAGTACCCTGCTTTTGAGACCTTGTGATGTGGCTTCTCAGATCCAAAGCCCTGAGAGGAGGCTCTGATGGGGCATGCTGGGCCAGGTGTCTCCACCTTGGTGCAAGATGGCTGCTCCTTGTGGGGGGCTGGTGGGGGCTGTCATGTGGTCTAAGCTGTCTGCCGGGGCATGCCCAGGGCACAGGGGCTATTCATGTGTGGAAGGGGCTGACTGACAACTCCAGGACATGTGCACAGACAGATGAGAAGGTAAATGACAGGAAAATGAGCCATCTCATCCAGTGACTGATCATTTTAACGACCCCACTTAGGATCTGTTGAGGATTCTGGGTTCCTTCAACACCGGGCCTCTGTCTTCTCTGCTCCAGTCTTTCTCACTACCTCTGGAGTCACTCCACTTCTAGAACTCAAAGAAGCTTGCAAAACATTCCCTATATTAATGAAATGCAGTTATGGATCAGCCCCATTCTGCCTCACCTATGTTTTCAAAAACATGAGTGTATTTGTTTTATTCTCTGAGATGCTCCCAAGGGAAAATTCCTAGTCTGAACAGAAGATAATCAAATACACAAAGTCTTTTTGCAGCTTTCTTTTATCAGATCAACTATGAAATGAATAGTAGAACAGTGTTATTTAAAATGATAACTCTGGCTCGGCACCTATAGCTCAACCGGCTAAGGCGCCAGCCACGTACACCTAAGGTGGCAGGTTCGAATCCCCAGCCCGGACCCGCCAAACAACAATGATGGCTGCAACCAAAAAATAGCCGGGCGTTGTGGTGGGCACCTGTGGTCCCAGCTACTTGGGAGGCGGAGGCAGGAGACTCGCTTGAGCCCAGGAGTTGGAGGTTGCTGTGAGCTGTAATGCCACGGCACTGTACCCAGGGGGACAGCTTGAGGCTCTGTCTCAAAAAATAAAAAATAAAAAATAAAAAAAAAATAAAATGATAACTCTGGATTAGCTAGAGACAAACCTCAAAAGCACCAGCCAGTTACAGGCCCTGACTGCTCATGGTGGGGGACTGTTTGGGCATAACCTGGGGACAGCCTTGCTGGGAGCTCTGGGGTGCTGGCTTCCTGAGTCCCCTCCACAGACTCTAAGGCCCTGCAAGAGCTGGTCACTGCCCCTCCCCCCCACAAGCACTGACAGCCCAGCTACCACCTGACCCAGTACCTCTCATCCTCAGCCCCTCCAGCTGCCCCTGCCCAGCTTAGAGCCAGGTCCAGAACAGGCCCATGATGAACATTTGTCAGATGGGTACACACAGGGCTAAGACAGAACGGAATTTGGAAGACCACGGTTTTCGGCCTGAGATTTTCAATGAAACAATATGCACCCCTCCAACCTGCCAACCCCCTGCAGTTCCTACAATGGTTTGTCACTCTGTCCCCATGTCCTCTA